AATGGTCCGAAAAAGAGTGAATATCCAGTGAGCGGCAGTTAAATGGACATAAATGCCTTGTTGATGCCAGAGGAGGATGGGCAACAGCATCGGGTGCCACTCCTGTCAGCCAAAAACAGGAAACCAAGGCTACACTTCACGCAGGCTCACTAAAATTGAACAATAAAAGATTGGAAAAACGTTTCCTGGTCTGATGAGTCTCGATTTCTGCTGCGACATTCTGATGGTAGGGTCAGAATTTGGCATCAACAACATGAAAGCATGGATCCATCCTGCCTTGTATAAACAGTTCAAGCTGGTGGTGGTGGAATCATGAGCTTACTGTACTCAAATGGCCTCCACAGTCATCAGATCTCAATCCAATAGAGCACCTTTGGGATGTGGTGGAATGGGAGATTGGCATCATGGATGTGCAGCAGGCAAATCTGCAGCAGCTGCGTGATGCTATCATGTCAATATGGACAAAAATCTCTAAGGAATATTTCCAGTGCCTTGTTGAATTTATGCCACAAAGGCATAAATTCATAAAGACTCAACAAGAAGTAAATAACTTCTCACCAAACTCCCTTGACAGTCCACCATGATACGAAGTCTAAATCTAAAATTCCGACATGCGACATTAATCTAAAAATGTCTCCAGATGCATGTGAGGTGCCTCTGGTTGCTGTTGTACATCTTTCATTATTTATTCATTATCTTATTGACTGAAAGGGATCCGGGGAGTGAAGACTGGAGACGATGCATTATAGAGAACCCCTCCCCCCCCCTCCATTTCCCCTTTATAAATATGTGTAGGTGGCAAAGAGTAGGCCTAAAGACAACAGGATGGATCTACCTTAATGTCATGGCCAGCAAGTGTTTCAGAATTCATTACCCTGGGGATACGAGCCATCATAAGACGAAGCCCTGGCCAACTATCGACCCGCGCCGAGAGGTTACAAATTACAGCATAACTACTGAACAAACCCAGAGAGACAATGGCTTCCGCTGGCTTTCCTCATTTAGACGATAGACCGGAGAATTTGAAGACTGCAGATGTAACTGCAAACATTTCACTTCTAATTGAGGTTCGTTTGGAACTCGTATATACTGAAGTCTAACTATAAGAAGCATATGTGATTTTGGGAAGGGTGAGGGGGGTGCTGTAAACAAAAATGGGACCCAAACACACAGACTATGTAGTTCTTTTTACTTTGAGGAACTTGTATAGTGCATTTTCTCCTTTATATTTGTGTAATTTGTATGGGATAGTGTACATTCGGTAAATAGTGTCAACAAACACTCAAAAAAATAGTATTCTGCTGCTTGTTCAAACTACTTTTTTAAAAAAAGAGCTGAAAAAAAAAAAACAATTCCTGAGATTTTTTTTGGGAACAACTTGATTGCTTATGTTCAATCCACTTAGATTTGTTAAGCTAACTTAATCAATTTGTGTTATGACAACTGAAAATAAAATGTATGGAACTGTGCATTTTTTACAGTTAAGACAAAGTGACCATTTCTCTAAAGTTACTGGATTATTAACTATGAGTAAAGTAAATGTGTTTTATTCTATAAAGGTTTTATAGTATTTATTGACATTTTCAGATAACTGAAACAGTTTGATTGTTCATTGAAATTGTATTTGTTATTATTAAAAATCAGGGTTATTTTCTTCCTCATCTGAAGTAAAACATTTGTATAGTGTGTTATATAGTGTATAGTGTCTTATAGTCTAAAAAGGAATATAAGCATGTCTGAATAATGCATGTTTTTATGTAAGTTTGACACCAAGTGGTTAAACTTGGTATTGCACACCTGGTTCAAACCCGCAAGCACAGGTTGCCAGATTGACAGCACCAACAACGGTGTGCCTGATTGTCAAGCCTAAAGGCTGATTTAAGGCTGATGTAAGTGATGCTCTAAATAAAAGCGAAAGCATGGAATAGAAGGAATATTTTTCATATTTAAAGGAGTTTTTGTTCAAACCAACACTTGATATTTATATTATAGGAATGACTTCTATTTCTTGAAGCTGAACAACAGAAACTGTTCACCTCAGGTACACCTCATGTGCTTTAATCAGTGTTAAATGCTAATAATGTGAGTTTGAATGCCAATTTACATGACATTCTGAAAGCAGCAGCTGACAGTTCACCTCAAATCTTGAAAATAAAAGAAACAGTTTGAAATTAAACTTTTTTTGTGACTTAGAACTGTGACTTAGTGCAAGTCAACACATATCAGTGATTCAGCATGTAGATTTAATAATGTTAAAGAGGTTTAAAATGTATTAATTAGATTAGAAACCTCACCATTTAGTTGGAGTGCAGTGAGTGCACTATTCTGTGCTTCTGAATGGCTGTATTTACATTTCTGATGTATTTTGTCTGGGGCAAACAGACAAATTGTTTATCACTGCAAATATTGCATGTAGCATGTTGTTAGCATGTATTGTTTACATTCGTAATATTTATATTACTTTCTAATTAATAACCACCTCATGTGGAACTCTGAATCTGCATCTAATTTTGGAGGCTGCTGTCCTCCTGAAATCACATTTTGGTCACAGACACACACTTTGAGAGCCTTTCTGACTAAATAAATGTTGTTTTCCACAAAGGGAACCCAGGGTGCTGAAATATAATTGTCTAAGCTGGCATTGGGCAAGTTAAATGACTAAACAAAGACAGAAGTTACAGCATGTGACGCAGTTTTTTTAACGCAGAATATCTGACTTCAGCATTGTTTTTCAGATAAACAAGAATGTTCAACACAATCTCACGGCAATTCGTAACTTTTTGATTTAGTGGCTAATTCGTATGATCTAGTTCGTACAATTTAGTACGATTTGCTCATCCCCCAATGACGGTTGGGTATAGGGGTGGAGTTAGGTGCCACGTCAATTTTTTACTGAACTCGAATTTGTAAGAATTAGCCACTAAACTGGCAAAACGTAAAATACTTACGTTTGCTTGTGAGATCAGGCTGGAATGTTCATTTAGCATGTATCTTAAATATCTGCAATCATATTATGGCATTTTTATGCTTTAGATGAGTCAAAAACTTTCATACAGCACTTTTAGGCTCTAAAAGTGTAAATGGTAAAATTATTTTCAATTTAGAAGAAATGTCATTCAAAGCTTGCAGGTAAAATAATAATAAAAAAAAAATAATAATAATAGTTATTTAATAATATTAGTAATATTATAATAATAGTAATTTAACAATAATAATAATAATAATATATATTTGTTTTGCTGGTTGTTCAAACTACTTATTTTAAATGAATTAAAAAACACAATTCTTGAGTTTTGTTTGGTGGACAACTTAATTGTTTCATGTTCAATCCACTTAAATTAATTTACCTTAATCGATTTGTGTCTGGCCAATATGGATGACTTGTGGAACTCTGCATTTGTTTTACAGTGTATAATACCAATTTTTATTGATATAATCCCAAAAAGTTTTGTTATAATCAATGAATTTCACTACAGTCTTTACTAGACATGCCAATTCAGAATTCATAAATGCACAGAACTCAGCATTGAATAAAATGCTGAGTGCTTTGTTGATTTCATCTTAATCCCCTCTGATTGGCCATTGTGTTCATTAAATCGACAGAAATGACTATGATTGGTTTCACTGCAAAAAAACATACTATAAATGGAAACATTTGACACTCTCCTTACAGAAAAAAATGTCTTGAAAATGCTTCACATGTGCAATTATTTGTTAAAAATTATATGTGGAACACAACTAAAGCAGGATTTTGCAACATTTTGCTATTTTCATGGGCTTTTATAAGGATTTGGTGTGAAAATACAAACACAAACTGGTGTGTATGCCAAATATGTTTTGCCAGTATCAGATGGGCCACCTGATTCCCTGAGACTCTAAAGGGCCACTTTTCACTTAAAGGGTTAGTTCACCTGAATATATATATTAAAAAAATTCAGTGTTTACCCTTAAGTGATTACAAACCTATGAGTTTCTTTCTTCTGTTAAACACAAAAGAAGATATTTGAAACAAGTTGCAAACCTGTAACCAATGACTTCCAAAACTGACTTTTAAAAACAAACATGATGCAAGTTAATGGTTACAGGTTTCCAACATTTTTCAAAATATCTTCTTTTGTGTTCAACAGAAGAAAATGAAACGCATAAATGTTAGAAACAAGTAAAGGGTCAATAAATGATGACAGATTTGTAATTTTTGTGTGAACTTTTCCTTTAAGTCTATCACTGCCATGCATTTAAATCATAAACAATTCACCTGAATAAATGTCGAATTCTTGCTGAAGGACCAGTTGGTAACGCACAATATAAGCTTTAAAACCTATGTCTATGGTGCTGGTACCTGTGGGATTAATTAGTAAACAGGAAACAGCCTTATTCCTGTTCTCTGAGCTCCATAGAGTAACCGGCGGCCCTTAACACATCTTTCAAAAGAGTCAAGGATGTTTGTACACAGCATCTCTCCACCACGTTAACCAGATCAATCCAAACATCTCCAATGACTGTGGTTGTATATTGAGAATTGAGCTGATTGTTCGGGGGCCAAGGGGTTTCTTGCTATGCAACCGGCATGGGTTATTTTTAGAAGCACTCTCTACACCTGCAGTGATGCTTTGCCATACTAACCAACAACATCCAGAGCACAAAACGCAAACACGTGAATAATAAAACTATAACAAATGACTATTTTTGCTGGAATAGGGGGTTTTGTGATTATGTAATAAGAGACATTAGTCTGAGACACAATTTTAACCAAAATGCACATTGAAATATGCATTTTCTGTCAAGTACTTAAAAAAATGTGTTCTGGGAAAGAAAAAAGCTAAATGAACAAATGAATAAATAAATAAATAAATAAAATAAATAAATAAATCTTATTTTACTAAAAAACTATTCGACTGAGCATATTATTCATCTTAATAGCATATTATATGTATAATCTGCAAATAAATGATACAAATAAACCCCCATAAAATCCATTTTCCCCATGTAAACAAAGTTACCTGAAGTCTGGGTTCCTGTTGGGTTTAAGGCCATAGAAGCCAGCTGACAGTGTCAAGAGCCATCTGGGTATGAAATTCCCATTCTCGCACTCCAAGTACGGAGCTGACCAGTGTATCTGAGTTTTTTCGGTAATATAACTTTCTCCACTGCGCACGGACGCGTCAAACGAGGCAAAATCTTGACTCAGCACTCGTTTTTGCAGATGTGTCTTCTTTTTATGTTTGTGCTCATGATACCACTCGGTGTCAGCCGTTCTGTTTCTCAACATCCGATGGGTAATGTTGGATAAATCCTGCAGAATGATCTCTCCACCTGCCCGTGTAGCCTGAAGGTAAACAGGTGGTCCTTCAGGAGGGGATTCTGTGCTCAAGGTGACCACCGCTCGGTGGATCTTGAGGTCTCCCTCCAGGATACTCCTGACCAGCGCGTTGTACCACTCCATGTCTGCATGTCTGGGGCTGTGATTTCTGGATCGGTTTGTTTGTAATATCATGTTGAGGAAGTTTGTGGCGTGAAGGACCGTGTCCAGGACGCTGCGCATGGAGTGATGCGCGTCTCCGCGCGTCCTTCCCCGCAACACCGCCAGCTCATATCTCCTGGAGCAGTTGGCGTGCTTTAAGGTGGAGGAATCCCCCGTGTGCAGAAACGCAGTCACTACTTTGGGTACCTGCTCCTCGATCTTCTGCACTAAACCCGAATGGGGCTTCCGGAGGTGCGCGTGCTGGTTGCTGTGCGTGTTGTAAATGGGCAGCTTTCCTTTCAGGTCCCGGTCATGTTCCACATATCTATAATTTGATCCTATAACAAATCCCACTTGCAAGAGTAACGATATCCGGATTATGGCCATATCCTTCGATCCCGCTCTTCTACCTTACCAGCGTCAGTTGAGCAAATCTGAGGCGAGAAATCACAGCTGGAATTAATCAAATCAGCACAGCATCTTCACCTGTGGATTTTCGCGCATTGCTGCCACTTTACTCCCGTCCAGAAGACATGTATCGCATCGGTAATCCCCTTCCCCTCAGATACATTAGTGTTGTTTGTGTAAGTGATGCTGGTTTGCTTTTGTATCTCGTCGCGGGAGCGCGGCAGATGTGCAGGATCCCCGACGCTCTCCTCCCAATATGATGCTGGACCACAACAGACGTGATCGAATATGAGAAGGAGAAAAAATCCTATTTTTCGGAGCCAGGGAGTCAGTACTTCACACTTGGATGACAAACACACTCCGCCCTCTTTCCTCCACTCCAGTCTTAAAGCATGAGAACGACAGAAACCATTTGCTATAACATCTAGTGATGCCCGATTCACGAAGGACTCGTTTAGTGAGTCGGTGCTTCTCTTTAAACCGGTTCGCAAATCCGTAACCAATCGGCTGCTCTGATCTGAACTGCTCGAAAGAACCGATTCGCGGAAATGAGTCGGACTTCCCAACACTACTAACATCCCGTCTTCTTCATCACCTTATAGGGTTTGGGAAAGTGCCCTTGATTGGTGTATGGTCATTTCGGCTGTCAGTCATTTGACGGAGGGCGTGTTTGTAACACTGAAGGAGCTATCCAGTACTGAAAGGGAAAGAAAAAACATACATTGAAAAAAAGGGGCGATAAATCACATTAAGTTCTCGGCTTTCGGCAAAAATAGACGCTCGATGGGAAGGAGTACATTTATAAAGGCTCCTACTGCATAAACGTCAACAAGACGAAGCTGTTTAAAAGATGCATTGCTTGAGATAAACGCTTTAATGTCGAGGTTAAATTATGAGCTGGACGTTTTTTCTTCTGTGTGGTCGTGTCCATCTGATATTTTTATGGCCGTCTCGTTATTAAGACGGCATCAGCTGCTTATAACGGTTTCTGTTGCGCACCTGTGCTTTATTTGTTGATATATGACATATGCGTCAGACAGGCGTTTTCGGTAGCGTTGCGTCGTGTCGCGTTGTATGTTCAGCGTTCTGCGCGAATAGAAAGTTAAACTGAGATACTTGTGTGATTTTTTTTTCATAATTTTCCGTCTGTTTTTATTAACGCGCCTTCACACAACACACATTTCACACTGACCGCGTCTGTGCTGTCATTCAGTCTTTGTAGATATGCGTCAGACTGACGTTTGAACCTTTGCGTCGCGTCTCTGTTACTAGGCGCGTTTAAGTCGCTGTATCAAGTTTTACACAGTTCCAAAACGCGTTTTTAAAAACAAGGTTATATACAAGCCGATGTTGTGACATCCATTCTTGAGTTAAACATGCAGAGAGAGCTGTTTGCGCAGCGCTGTTTTTGTCGCGCGCTGGAGGAAATACTGCAGTGAAGCGAACAGCACAGGAGGAATGCATGCGACTGCGTGAGGATGTGAATCATGGTGCAATATGAGTCATCATCACTGCACGAGCGTTTAATCCAGATCTGTAAACAATGAGATGTTCAAAGCGAAATCTAAACGCGTGCGTCAGGGGCGCAAATGACTCAAGCGTCCAAATGAATTGAAACGGCACATACAAACAATCGATGATGCCATCACTGTCTGCTGAGGTACACGGCTCGAGCTCGACAAAGCTCCTCATAGAAATATACCTGAATCATACTGTATGTGCGTAAATGAAAATGTGTGCACATTATAAATGATGCAATCATTTGATGATGTTATGAAATATTGATCATCCTTCACCTATGTCAACTTGGTTCCTGTTGCAAATTATTTCGTTGTCATTTAGAGAAGTTTTCAGTATAGATTAAAAGTCTGACTTGTTTTCTCAGCCTCTTGCAGTGGCACATCATGTTTTGTAATATTGGGACATTAATATTAAGCTAAAACAAAAAAGGCATACATTCTGCTCTAAATAACAATATATAAATGTTGTTTCTTAGATTTTTCTCACTGAATGTTCATTAGTCTGCTCTAAATTAATAAAGTTAATTAGTGTCGTCATTTCATTATCATTCATACTCCTTGTTTTAATTTCCAACATTTTATTTCATTTAAACATTTCATTTGATTTCCATTCATTGTCAAAAGTACTTAAATTAATTCTTAAACTATTGATTTTCCCATTATTTAATGCACTTTTGGTTCTGAATTATGTCATTAAACATGTATACAGTATGCATGTCTATTTATGAAACAATTCAGCATAAATTTTGAAATATATATATATATATATATATATATATATATATATATATATATATATATATATATATATATATATATATATATATATATATATATATATAATTATTATTATTAATATTATTATTAGCCCCCCTGACTTATTAGCGTCCCTGTTTATTTTTTTTCCCAAATTTCTATTTAATGGAGGGAAGACTGTTTCAGCACATTTGTAAGCATAATAGTTTTAGAAACCTATTTCTAATAACTGATTTATTTTATCTTTGCCATAATTACAGTAAATAATATTTTACTTTATAATTTTCAAGACACTTCTATACAGCTTAAAGTGCCATTTAAAGGCTTACTTAGGTTAATAAGGTTAACTAAGCAGGTTATGGTAATTAGGCAAGTTACTGTATAACGATGGTTTGTTCTGTAGACTATAGAAAAAAAAATTAGCTTAAAGGGGCTAATAATTTTGTCCCAAAACAATATATATATATATTGTTATCTTATATATTAGCTAAAAATATATATATATATATATATATATATATATATATATATATATATTTTTTTTAGGAATGATCAAAAAGGAAAAATCAATACCAATAAATACATGATCAATACATAAATATATTGTCATATTCAACAGCCTTGACTGCTTGAAACATCACATCCAGGATGTATTTTGCAGTCTCCAGAAACGTCCACATGACTCGATTTTCAGAATAAACCTGGCCTGCAGATTTCCGTTTAACACAATCTTTGGAGTTTCTGTTATATTTTTGGTCCATAATGACATATATAATTATTAACAGTCATCATGAAACATTGCATGCTTTATTCTGAGCATATTGTAAGTGATGTCACATCTCTAGAAAGTTTGCAAAGCAAAAACAAAGCTGTTCTACATTTATTGCTCCCTCTTATTTCAACACTCGCTTCTTCTAACCCGTTCCAAAAATATTTTATTCCTGCATGGTTGAGTGCAGCTGTGAAGGCTAGTGGAGAGAGTCACTTCAGCCTTTAACCGTGCCTTAGTTTTGTGAATTCCAGGCCCCTGTCATTCAGCTGTCAGTCCAGACCAGCAATGGGCTCTCAGAGAACAGTCTCATATCATATTTCACGCACAACCCGCTCAGGGTCAGTGATTTCCCAGATGCAAAGCAAGAAATGGACTTTATCAAAGAGTGAGAAATAAAACAAAACACTTTCAATACACCCCTAAAGGGATAAAAATGTACTCACCATTTGTACACCCTCAAGTAGTTATAATCCTTTATGAGTTTCATTCTATTGTTGGACACCAAATAATGTATTTTTTAAGAAAGCTTCAGGAAAAACAGAAAAACAAATAGGCTGCTATGAAGGTCAATGGTTACGATTGCCAGATTTCTTCTCATTGTGTTCAACAGAGGAAAAACTGATTTGAAACAAGTGAGGAGTGAGTAAACGATGACTGAATTTTCATGATCTATTTAAAAACATTTAAGAAAATGTATATTTTATGCAATTTTCAGGGGGAATCCATGGTTTAATTATTACATATTCTAAAAGAATATCTATTAATAAATAAATATTCTGTATTTTGCAAGTGTACACTGTAATTATACTCTGTGTGCATATTACATAAAGAAAATAGCTGCCTGAGTCAACTTAACTGAATTCTCTCAATGTGAAAGAGCTGTAGCTCTTCTCTGAGATCCACCTAGGTGACAGGGCTTCTCACCTTATATCGCAAAATTTACCCTGCCACCGTCTGAAGAAAGATCATTTTGGCCACTCATATCTGTGATCTAGTCCTTTCATTTATGGCTCAAATCTCATGTTCATAGGAGAGAGTAAAAACATAAAAGACTGGTAAATTGAGAGTTTTGCCCTGTACCTCAGTTCCTTTTTCAGCACAACACACCAGTACACTGGCTGTATCCCTGAAGCCAGGATTGGGATTGAGTGACTTGTGGTCAGGTCTTTCCACTAGAATCCCGGCTGGGTACAGCCTGAAGGAGTGACATGGAACCATCCTCATGTGGACCCATCACCTGCAGGAACAGCTGGTGCAATAAGAACTGGGCAGTGGTCAACAGTCAGAGCCAAGACAGTACTTCATGTATGAAAGAGTAAGTAGTAGTATGAGACAGTAAAGATTAATTCATTGTTTACCTGGCTTTCCAGGCTACTGCTGTCGCAGTCACTATCGCAGCGGGACAGCCCACGACATGGCAACAACCAGTGAACTACCTGAGAAGTCAGAATATGGCAAAGATGTGCTTACTGCAGTCTGTAGCACGATGGCGTACTGGACATTGTAATGCCCACTATCATAACGTCCATGCTACTGTGAAAGTTGGGTTTAGGGCTGGGGTTGGTATGAACGTTAATAACTGTGATAGTGGGGTTTAGAGTTGGTGTAAACGTAGGATAGTCTGGCTACGCCTGGTTAGTCTGGCTGTTCTGCTTGTCTGAAAAAGTAGTGGTCAATGATATAGGTACAGAATATCAGCATTATGATTGGCCAGATCGCCTGTCAATCAAACTGCCTGCAAAAGGTCAATTGCAATCAGAGTTTGGCACCCTAGTTCATTGGCCTTAAAAAAGTATAACAAATTATCGGCAGCCATGTGCAAGTTTCTCCACTTTACTTTAATCCCACAGGTTGACGGTAAAGAGGAGGAGACAAACTGGCACCAGCAATTATCCCTGTTCACCCAAGCATGGCAGAAACCTCTTATGAGTAACGTTAAATTGAAGACTGTGAGGTCTCCCAGTATGGCCCAATCCTGAAGCCAGGATTGAGATTGGTCAGGTCTTTCCCCAAGGAACCTGGCTGGGGACAGCCTGAAGGAGTGACACTGAACCATCCTGCAGGAGGAGCTGGTGAAATGAGAATTAGATGGTGGTCAATGGTCAGGGTCAAGACAATCCTGCATGTATGCAATAATAAGAGACAGTAAAGATTGATTCATTGTTTACCTGGCTTTCCAGACTACAGTTACTATCGCAGTGGGACAGCCCACAACATGGCAACAACCAGTGAACTACTTGGGGAATCAGAATATGGCAAATTTGACAAGACGTCTATAATGCAGTTTGTAGCACGATGACGTACTGGACATTTTAACGCCCACTATGATGACGCCCATGCTACTGTGAAGGTTGGGTTTAGGGTTGGGGTTGCTATAAACGTTAATAACTGTGATGGTAGGGTTTTGGATGGGGGACATGAGTACAGAATATCAGCATTATGATTGGCCAGATCACCTGACAATCAAACTGTCTGCGAAAGGTCAATTGCAATCAGAGTTTGGACCCCTAGTTTATTGGCTCTAAAAAGAATATCAAATTATCGGCAGTCATGTGCAAGTTTCTCCACTTGACTTTAATCCCACAGGTTGACGGTAAAGAGGAGGAGACAGACTGGCACCTGCAATTATCCCTGTTCATCCATCCATAGGTCTATTTCCTTATTAGACACACACACATACCAGCCAGCAAAGGCAGATTAGTAAGACCAGCAGACCTTAACAAACAAACACACAAACCACTATCCATTCCAATGCAAGCTTCACATATAAGGACAGCCTCTTAAACAATGTCACCCAGCTTTTAATTATTCATCCCTACACCTTGTGCATATCGCAGAAGTTTCCTGCACAGCTACATTATACTTACAATGCAGAAACCACAGTGCCCTTAAGCCTCAACCTGTCCAGACACATGCTGTAAGAAAATAAGTGGTTAAAAAATTGCTGAACATCTATTTTCCTATATTTGTCTTACACTAACAAGAGGGCACCCAGAGCCCCTCTTGTTTAAAAAAAAATATGAATGTGGAGTTATTTTAGCAGCTATTATTGCTGTCATAAGCAGTCCTGAAGATGTATGAAAGCTCTTTTCCTCTAGGCGTACAACTGCTGAGTTAGCAACCAGGTTCATATCTCTACACACGGACTCATTTCTATTCCTGCCCCCGCTGGCCTGAGGAGTTCATTCATTATAGCCCATTCAGTAGATGGTACATTATGTTAATAATTAAATGTACATTTGTTACATTCAGTATGGTATTTACATTTCATATTTTAAAAAGTTTGTGGTATGTGCAATATAATAAATTAGCCTAGCACGCTAACAAGCTAACTAATACCAAATACAGCAGTTTTTTTACTTAAACATGTATCTACATCAAATGATCTGTGATACATTAACTAAAATACGCTGTAACTAATTGATAAACTATGCCAAAGCCAAATAACAAGGGTCAGTTGCAAGATTTATTGTTTTTTCAGTGATCGTCTCTTCCTTTCAGGAAGAAAGCAGCCATATGTGAACATTCTTACGGCAAATATTAGTTTTCATGGTGAAAAGGTAAATAGGATTTGTCATATTATTGCAAGATATTGTGAAGTTATATCATTTTAATCAGTTTTTTAGCTATTAACAGGCGGATTTGCTGTAGAATCTGTCAAAGCTATTGTATTATGCTAGCTTAGCAAGTTTTGCAACAGTACAGTTACCTTTCAACTAACTCAACACTAACCTGTAAACTAACATTGATGTAAAATTTTGGCCAAACAAAACATAAAGGAGCTGTAACTTTATGATTGGGCTAACATAGTCATGTCTCCTTTAAGTACATTTTACCATTCCATCACATGATATGCACACAAAGACACACATAAACTTATCTGTCCATGTGGACTACTGCAACTGTGCCCTGTTCGCTCTCTATTCAAGTACAAACTGAACATGCTGTACAGTATATGATAATATATGTTGTTTGAATGAGTAGCTGACAATTGTATCTTTACTGCCTTCAGGTTTATATTTATCGATACAAATGGTTTATGAGAAACTGGAATAGATGCAAAAAAGTGTTGCAACCATTCTCATGTTCACATATTTTCTAAGGTCTTAAATAACAGGTTAAAAATACACCTTACTAGGTACACCTGTCCAACTGCAAGTTAACACAAATTTCCAATTAGCCAATCACATGGCAGGGGCTAAATGCATTTAGGCATAGGCATAGTCAAGATGATCTGCTGCAGTTCAAACCGAGCATTAGAATGGGGAAGAAAGGTGACTTTGAACGTAGCATGGTTGTCGGTGCCAGACGGTCTGGTCTGAGTATTTCAAAAACTGGGATTTTCATGCACAAAGATCTCTAGGATTTACAGAGAATGATCCAAAAATAAATAAATAAATAAGTATCCAGTAAGTAAAACTACCTGAGTATTGTTGCTGACCATGTCCGTCCCTTTAAGACCACAGCGTATCCATCTTCTGATGGCTATTTCCAGCAGGATAACGCACCATGTAACCAAGTGCAAATCATCTCAGACTGGTTTCTTGAACTTTACAAACTCACTATACTCAAATGTCCTCCACAGTCATCATATCTCAATCCAATAGAGCATCTTTGGGATGTGGTGGTATGGGAGATTCGCATAATAGATGTGCAGCCGAAAAATCTGCAGCAACTGCGTGATGCTATCATGTCAATATGGACCAAAATCTCGAAGGAATAGCTGGGAATAGCTTGAATCTATGCCACAAATGATTAAGGCAGTTATGTAGACAAAAGGGTGTGTAATGTGGTATTAGTACTTTCTTTAATTTAAAACATCTGTGCTAAATATAAATTTCTTTAACTTATTGTGCCCATTTTATTTTTGTCTTGAGTGCTTAATGTTTCAAAAGCTTTCTATTTCAGTTGCTTTACAGATCTTTTAAAAATATTGTTTAGCATTGCCTATTAAAACTGAATAGGAAAAATACCTGTTACCCTGCACTCAAAATATTCTATTCTATGTCCATTTCTGTTGCATGCCCATTTCAGTCAGAAATGATGGTAAGGAAATAGATTTGGGTTTAATTCACTTTACCGGCACCATCAGGCCTTCAAGTTTCAAAGGTTTTTTAAAAAGGTATTCAAGATGGTTAAAAAAAGCTCAGCCAAATGAAACATTTACAGTGGATATAGCAGGATACACATTATACAAGAATCACTCCTGCTAGCTGCATTTAAACTTTTAGTCATTTATTTAGAGAGGTAACATTATATTCATTAAGAATATGGGTCAATACACTGTACGCATGTCCAAAACTTAATTTGAAACTTCTAGTTTTAAATCTTTTATTTTTAGCACACCAATACTGATTTTTAATTTGCAATACTAATATTTTAGCCTGTGTTATTTCAGTCCGAAATAATAAAAGGCATTACATATAGTGTGGCCCACTGATTTCCGGACAAGTTGCTAAAAAATTCAATTTGTTGCTTAATTTACTAATTGCCACTGTGACGTCATTGTCATTGTGACAACGATGTCATTTTGCAACCTTGACACAAACCTGCATAATTGTGTAGAAAACAAAACGAGACAAAAACATTATTAGAATTATGTTGATTTAGATTTGTTGGTAAGCATATCACGTTAAGATCAGGAGAAATGCTGAAATCCCCATCCCGCTGCTAAGGTACACTGAAAATGCGGGTTTGAAACAAAAGGTTTGAAACAATCAAAGGGAGCGTGAATGATGACAGACTTTTCATTTTCTTCAGACAAGGTGATTTTCAGAATCATATTGACTGTGAGTAATACGGTCAAATTCATGTACCCGTTCGTACCTGCCTGTGTCTGACCGTTGTATTTAACAGTTTGGCGCCATTTTGTGAATGAATTGCTTCAGCCAGTTTGGTTTCTGTCAGTTTTGCGTTTTTGACTGTTTGCCGCCATCTTGTGACTGAATAATGCGCAGGTTGGTGTATACTCCATCAGCTGTTTTATTTTCTCTCAACTTTGCATTTATTTAACCAATTAATAAACTATTACGGGTCACAATATTGTTTTGTGACTTATTTTTATGTTGTGGCAAGGAGTGGAATAAAGTACAACCAGAATAAAGCCCTAAGTCCTATAGTGGTCCACTTACATATATAAGAAAGTCAGTATTTTTTCCTGCAAAAGGAAACAACAGAATATTATTTCTACAACCCTTTTGTTTGGATACAGAAACAAAACCTTGTTCTGAGGTACTCATGATCACACAATGCCCTCTTCTGTTCACAGTGCAAACAACATTGACCACCTTTAACAAAAGTTGCTGCTGAAAAATCCAGCTTAAACCAGCCTAAACTGGAGGGCTGGTTTAAGCTGGTTGACCAGCCTGGTTTTAGAGGGGTTTAGGCCATTTCCAGGTTGGTTTCCAGCCATTTTTAGCCTGGTCTTAGCTGGTCAGGCTGGAAAATGACCAGCTAAAACCAACTAAAACCAGCTTGACCAGCCTGGCCTAAGCTATACACAGCTGGTTTTGGCTGGGCTCCCAGCCTGGTTAGGCTTGTCAAGCTGGTTTTAGCTGGTCATCTCTCAGCTAAGACCAGGGTGGAAATGGCTGGAATCCAGCCTGGAAATGACCAAAACCCCTCTAAAACCTGGCTGGTCAGCCAGTTAAAACCAGCCAACCAGCCTATGCTGCAAAGCTGTTTTTTTCAGCATACGTTTCTCTTGAATTGTTTGAATTGAAGGCTTGTGCTAAAATACTTGAAATTAGTTTTGTGAAAAATAACATATCGCTATATTTATTTAAAAATTAAACAAATATAAGATTTAAATGAAAACAGACAGTTTAAGGAGGAATAATAAAAAACAGTAAACATTGATAAAGAGCGTTAAAGTATACAAGTGACCAAACACATTCATAAACTACCAACAACAAAGAGAAGAGGCTGACAGAGATTATTTATTTCCAGTGTTGTTTTTTTCTTTCTGTCTGACTTTCTTTTTTTCCTTGCAGATGGGAGTCACACATGAAATCTGCACACAGAGGTATGACATCATGCATACTCTTCCCAGGAATCACATGCTGGTTACTACACTGGACAAAAATATCAGACTTTTTGACAAAGGTAACACGCACAAAAATATACACATTTTTACGATCCCGCCTCAAGAAAAGACTATCCAGTGGCAAAGCACGAGATGAATTAAGACTATGACTGAGGAAGCAGTGGACGCTCTGGGTCTGCTTTTTGCATCGTTTTGTATAAAAATTTATTTTCTTTTTTTTCTGATAAAATTCAGTCATTCATTCACAATACATATTCCATGTCAACAAACAACGACATTAAGAAATGGCACCTTTCCTGTCACCAGAACCAGTTAAGAGGCACTTTTTTTGCGTGTGTGTTTGTGTAAGGAAACAGAATTCCTTGTGATTTTACGACTCGTTAGCTGTTCGAATGGAACAGTATCGCAATACCAGTAAGTCTGATACTGCTACAGATGTCCAGGCTCTGGTGCTTTCGGTTTAGCACTTACTTTCACAATCCTGTAGAAATATAAAAAGATTTCATTCTTCTTCCACATTTATGTCTGGCTGTTATGATGCACTGTGAAAGGGGATTTCCACAGCACACAGCTCAGAAAACAGCCCATATCAGGGCTAACCTTCAGAATAAAAAAAAAATAAAGCAAACTTCAAGTACAGACATTATTTACATACGTTTTTTTCACTAATGAAAACTGCAACAAACCAATGTATGTGTTAGTCAATACAACAGCAAGCATATTACATTCTTCATATTAGAAACATCAGGAGTTTTCTTTTTTTTATGTTTGTCCTAACCTCGGACAAGATGCCTTTTCTCTTTCATTGATATAAGTTTCCTTCAGTAACAGTTTCAGAAATGCATGTCTGCCCAGGTCAGGGACGAAATTGTGCTGTTGCAGCAGCAGAGGCAATCGGTAAACATTGGTATTGTACAGCCTCTGAATATCAGGCCACTTCACTGCCATGCATATATTACAAATATTCAAGAAAACAGCTCCAGTACTGATCCGAAACAATGAGTCGGATGACTCAAAATGTTAAAACCACTCCAGTTATTCTTTTTATAAGCCTATACATATTGATATATACAATTTATATTTATAATATATATTCATATTTATAGATGCTTTGTTAAAAAAAGGATGGGGCAGAAAATAAAGGTGGAGTAACCTTAGTTCTTACATTCATTCATTCATTCATTCATTCATTCAATCAATCAATCAATCATTCATTCATAAGGCCTGTTCACACCAACATGCATACTCGGCACAATTCATTGTGATTTTATCATTAGCATTTTAGCTAATTGTCTTTAATCCTCAAGCTTATTTCATATTGCAGCCCTTAATTGAACCAACGGATATATTTAGGCAGTGTGATACTATTTTTTAAACAAATGACACCTTACTGCTTTGATAAACTAACATCTATCAATTGAATGAATTCACCCTGCATATTTCAACAAGGCAATGCAAAACCACATTCTGCACACACTACAAAGTCCTGGCTGCAGAGGAAGAGGATACAGGTACAGTCTGGAGTCCTGACCTGTCTATAATAGAGATTGTGTGGTGCATTTTGAAGCGCAAAATTCGACAACTGAGACTCTATATTAAGATTTGTTTGCAAAATTATACCTAAAACACTTCATTACTTTGTGTATTTAGTGCCACATCTTTTAAGTGTTGTAATAAGCAATGGAACATTACAAAGTGGTAAATGCTTTACTGTCCCCACTTTTTTTGAAATGTGTTGCAAAAACCAAAACTGAATTCATTTGTTAATTTATTTAATGGTTTTAATTTTGGTGTTTCCCATTAATTTATTAAACCTTATAAAAAGGTATTACATTAAAATATAAAACATTCAATTATAAAAGTCTTCAACCACTCAGATAAAAAAAATAATTAACTATTTAAAAAAATGAAATAAATTGGTTTTGCGCAAATTTGTTTAGTTGGATGTTTTAAGTAAAAATATGCTTATGTTTTATGTTACAGGAAAAATCTCTTGTATTTCGGCTAAAAATTTTATAAATAAATAAAAAACATGAATGAAGTAAGGTTTTTTTTTTAATTATTAAATTTAAAATGAAAAAAGAATGCTTAAGATTTTGGTATTCCCCATTCATTTTCAAGAGGTGTCCATTTTTTGGCAAGGGGGAACATTAACAGATGTTAACTTAAATCAAGTACTCTTTTTTTGTGTGTTCAGATTGCAAACTTACAAATACTTGCCAAGTCTTAAACTGTTCAGATTAAGGAAACAATAATTTAAAAAAAAAACTAAACGATGATTTTGCACAAAAAAGTCTTCTAGGATTAAAGATAATATGTAAAAATGACAAACAGATAATGACTTTAGTACTTATTAAGTGACACTAAATATAAGTACAGAGACAAGAGACCTGGTTTAGTGTTTACCCCTGCTAAAGTCACTGCTGTTTAGCAATAGAGTGTCTTTGTGAGCACCACCATGTGGCCAAAATCCCATTTGGCCAGGCAAGTTACTTTGTAATGGGAAATAAATGGAAATCCCATGATAAACAAAGTGTTGATTTGATTGCATGTGAATTTCCACACCAGTCTGATCAGATGCGTTCACATTTCTTATTGGTTTGATCAAATGTTCATACCAAATATGCATCTTGGTTTGAACAGGCCTATCTATACATGCACACACATTTTGAATCACTTACATACACACAGATGATAATTTTCTTTTTAAAGATACTGGTAGAATCGTGAGCGCACCACTTGGGCTCCTGACAGTTTTTGAGGATGAGCATCAGCCCCTGAATTCAGGCTGTTTCTAGATTTGCCCTTTGCACCTCCATTTACCTGTTCAGAGCTGGACTGAGAACATAAGGAGGCAGAGGAACTCAGTTGCTCAGAATTTCTAGGATGGGTTTTGTCCGTTTCTATTGTCTCTTTCCCAGCTTGACCTTCTAGTTCTGTGCTAGCCTGCGAACCCTGTGAACCCCTGCGACGATGCTCACTAACAATCCAATCCCGAATAGACATGTTCTGAGAGTCACCCTTGGGTCTTAGGCGCTCTACAGCAGGCAGTTCGGCCCCTTGGTCCACCCCGCCCTGTTCTCTCCAATCATGAATGACATCTAGTTCAGCAAAATCCCGTTGCCCACCCATAGTATGCCGTCGCCGGATGCCCTTTTTCTTACCACGAGTCTCTGTAGAGCGGGTCTTTTGTGTGCCCACACCGAACATGTCATCAGCAGAGCCACGTAAACGGAACTTGAGCCTCTCTGTGATTTTAAGGTGCCATGGAGTCTCAACCTGGTCTGATTCACTTCGTGATGGGGCACTCAGACTGCTAGTGGAGCGGCCTCTCTTCATCACTTCCAGAACTCGACACAGTCTATTTGATTCATTCTTGCTGACCCCTTGATTGCCACCACCAGCTCCTGCCTCCACCGATGAATCGCTGTCCGTCTTTTGTCGTAGGGAACGTCTCCTGCTCAAGGAGTCACATTCAATCAGCTTATGGGAAGGCAGCAAGCGGCAAGCTAGTTTTGGTGTGGTGTTGCTGCTATCTTCTGTGTTTGGCATCTCTAGTCTACCAATGGCAGGGCTGAACATTGGAAAGTCGCTTTCGCTGTCTGTTTCCATTGGTCTTCCCTCACTGATGAGCTCACTGCGCTCGTCATCTGCCTCATCTCCTCCCCGGCTTTCCGTCACAGACTGGACTTCCGGGCTCAATGTAATCGATTCCATTCCTGTCAGGAAGGTGGTAGAGGATGTGGTTGAGTAGTCTGAGGTAATAGAGCTGACCTCTGCAGTCACCGAAGCCCCACCAGGAGCTGCTAGAAGATCAATGCTTGGAGGTGTTGTTGTTCCCCATTTCCGAGGTCTGGTTCTTGGGACGGAAGCTCCAGAGCTCATGGTGCCCAAGTCTGATGTGGTCTCATCTAACTGTGAGGATGGATCTGAGATGGAGCATTTGGGAGGACCAGATTTGCGTCGATTGAACCCGGGTGAACACGAGAGCTTGGGTGAAGGGGAGAGCACTGAAGAGGTTTTGTCTTTCATGAAGAAAGAGTTCCTGTGCTCTTTTTTGCTTTTCGGGGTGGACTCTGCACTTATGCCATCCTTGTCTCCCACAAGTGATTTTCCACATGAGCTAGACCTGCCTGCTTCGTCCTCCTCCTGGCTTTGGTGGCTCTGCTTCTGAGTAGGGTTATTGTTCTTGGTGAACATGGTATCAAGGTCATCATCAGAGCTGCTGGGTTGCAGCTTCTCCTTGTGCTTTTTTCGTTTGCGGTTGGCCGCAGCAAAGATGGAGGAGACTCGAGGTTGAAGGAACTCGCGACTGCAGTGGTCCTTCCCTGATCCCCAAGAGCCCTGGGCAAAAAGAGTAAGAATGAAAGATTCAGTCACAGAGAAACAAAACAACCTTGTAAAGCAAGGAGTCCAAAAGCACTGAGGCCTAGCAACAACAAAAAAGCCCAACCACTGCCCTTGCAGGTGGCTAACCCAGAGTACTCCACCTGCTCCTCTGATTGCAGCAAAATCAGAGGTTGAAGGACTGAACATAGAAAGAAACATTAGAGACAGTTACAGAGCTCCAAACGAGGCCTCTTTTTCAGAACAGCCACACAGCGCAAGCAGCACCCGAAACAACAACAGCACTGGCATATGAAATAAAAAGATGCATGGGTTGCATTGCATTAAAAACAAAACTGGAGCCAGGTGACAAAAATAGGGATGGGAATCATAATTCATTTAACGTCACTTTTTGTACTTTTGAGGAAGCATCATATTCCTAATTCCAGCTACACTGTATAACGGTGATTGGCAACACCTACAGAGTTTAACTCCATCCCTAATCAACCACACTACCTTTGGCTGTATCTGAAATCGCCCCTATACCCTTAAATAGTGCGCCATTTGAGGGACCGGCCAACTGTAGTAGTGCTCAAATCCATAATGGACATTCTGTGTGCATTCAATCAATCCCAAAATAAAAGAATTTGATGAATTTCCACATTTGACTACAAGATCATATCCTCAGCAGAATCCTATCATTAAATTACGTTTGCATACATGACAGAAATCAAAATACTGTTGTTTCATAACTTATATGCAGCTCCCTAGGTGTTGAATAACTATCACAGAGTGTGTCTAAGAAAATAAACGTCTAATCTCTTTGAGGGATTTATCAACTAGCAAAGCAAGATGGCCTCCCTTCCAGTGCACCAGTACTCAAACTCACTAACTCCTTTTCATCCACTCCTCTAGGAGGACTATGTTAGTGGACTAATGCATGGAATAGTGAATGAGCATATAAGGAATGAGTTTAGATACATATGTCTTAAGGATTGCTTAAAAATCACAAACAAGTGTTTGACATTTGGGGTGGCTCTAAACTTGAGCATTTCCTAATAAACAAAGAATCCCAATGGTTCTACACATTAGAACACACATATTACATCAGGGGTGTCCAAACTCGGTCCTGGAGGGCCGGTGTCCAGCTGAGTTTAGCTCAAAATTGCTTCAACACACCTGCCAGGAAGTTTCTAGCATACCTTGTAAGAGCTCGATTAGCTGGTACCGGTGTGTTTGATTAGGTTTGGAGCTAAACTCACAAGGACACCAGCCCTCCAGGATGAAAATACTTGGGCTTTGACATTTCCTTAAAAAAACACACATTCTTGATTCCCACCCCTAGGCAAAAATGCTTATGGCACATTCCAGCATTATCTCATTTCACTGTTAGACTGAATGCAGTGCATGTTCAAAGCATGACATGATGGCCTCTGATCCATCTGTCCAGTCTCTTCAAGATGGCAACTGGCTCTCAGGTTGGAGCATTTCTGCCTGGTGAAAGAACTACACTCACCCAGCTCCACCTGACCTATCAGAAAAGTGGCTACGAGTCCAACTCACCTTAGATTTAGCAGAGTCACTTGTTGGTGAATCTGAGGAGTGAAGAAAAGAGAGGCATGGTTACTGACTTGCACATGTTCTGATTTCAAATGAACCGATGAGTAGAAAAACATGTGGGTTAAACAAGGTAGTGCATGACGACGAGAGAGTGGCAAACAAGACAGGAATGGCGAGGCAAATACATCAGGCGTGCATGCAGACAAACAAGTGATGTTTTGTTGGAATGCTCAAATACATATTCACCCGTGGTGGGTGGTCTTTCATGTGTAGCACTATCCATTTGGAACAGACCAGATACACTACAAGAATTGTTTTATGAAGGAATTGGTGCAGTAATAGGATGCATGGACAGAGACACAAGACCACAGTCTACACAAGAAACGATGAGGGCTTTGCAGGCAGTGTCTAATGTCATTGAGTGACATTTATGATATATGACCTATATGAAATATCTGACTATGGTTACATATAGAAGCACATAATTGTGACTCATCTGTCTCTATAGAAACATATGTAATGATATCTAACCCAATGTTGTCTGTATATAACAGTGGCCCTTCAGACAATAGGACCATTTAGATTAGTGTTTATCAACCACGTTCCAGGAGGACCACGAATACTGCATGTTTTGCATGCCTCCTTTGTATGTCGCACCCATTACAGGTCTTTCAGTCTTGCTAATGAGCTGATGATCCGAAATCAGATGTGTTTGGTTAAGGAGAGAGCAGGGCTGCATCCGAAATCACATACTTCCATATTATATAGTGCACTAAAGTGAGTATGCAAGCCAAGTAGTATGTGCAAATTCATAGAATTCGAAAAACCGTGTGGGAGAAGTACCTAGATGACCAACTACTTCTGAGATTCTAAACTGTTGCGAGTAGGTAACGTGATGATGACAAAATGGCAGATGTAGTAAGTCCAAGTTCCATTCATACTGCTCACATTCATACTGTATAGAATGTACTTTTCTAACGGTCGAGTAGTAAATTTAACTTCAAATGCAGTACCTACAGGCAATATCAGATGCAGCCCTGGTGATCTTCCAGGAATGTGGTTGAGAAACATTGATTTAGATAACTTTAAAGCAATAGTTGCCCTAAAAATAAAAATTACTTCATGATTTACTCACCGTCAAGCCAACCTCGGTTTACAAGACTTAAGTAGTAGTAGGTTTACAGGACATTTTATCCTTGCTCTTCCATGCTGTTGGATAGTGGCTTTTATTTTGAAGCTTCCAAAAGCACATAAATACTTCGTCAAACAAAGCCATACACCTCCACGTGGTAAACGCATGTCTTATGAATAAGATTGATGTATTTTTTGTAATGCAGGTTATGTGTGACTAAAATATACAACACTTTATGTAAGATGAATTGACAATGCAGCATTATAGGAGTAATATACAGTATAACGTTATACAGTAATGATAAGGCAACAAGTTGACTTGTTTGCCCTCGTCTTCTGTGGTAAATGGTTTGCTAAGTGGTTCCTTACATTCAGTCACCACTGGAAGTCATAGACTGGAGTTAATAATACAAAATTGTATAAATACACTTCCTGACAAAAGTCTTTGTCGATTTCAGTTGTATAAGAACAACAGATAATAACTTGACTTATAGTTAATCATTTGGAAAAGTGGCAGAAGATCCCAATCATCACAAATACTGCAGAAGACCTATTGGAACCTGCATGGACCCAAGATTCGCACAGAAATCAGTCAAATTTGGTGAAGGAAAAAATCATGGTTTGGGGTTACATTCAGTATGGGGAAATGCGAGAGATCTGCTGAGTGGATGGCAACTTCAACAGCCTGAGGTATCAAGACATTTGTGCTGCCAATTACATTACAAACCACAGGAGAGGACAAATTCTTCAGCAGGATAGCGCTGCTACTCATTCTTCAGCATCCACATCAAATTAACTGAAAGCAAAGAGGGTCAAGGTGCTCCAGGATTGGCCAGCCCGGTCACCAGACATTAACAGTTTTGAGCATGTCTGGGGTAAGATGAAGAAGGAGGCATTAAAGATGAATCCAAAGAATCTTGCTGAACTCTGGGAGTCCTGCAAGGATGCTTTCTTTGCCATTCCAGATGACTTTATTAATAAGTGATTTGAGTCATTGCAGAGATGTATGGATGCAGTCCTCCAAGCTCATGGCAGTCATACACAATATTAATTATTTTTTCCACAGCAGCATGACTTTATATTCTGTACTGTACATTTGGACTTTTGTCTAAGCAAAGTCTCAAGCCACTTCCGATACCAAATGATCAAAAACAAGTCAAGTTATTATTTGTTGTTCTTAAAACTTGGATAGGTCACAAGACTTTTGTCAGGTAGTGTATAACACCGTTTTGCTTCATAGGACATGCGTAAACATCTTGGCGGCATATATGTTAGTTTCCCAACAAATTTACACACTAGTATACAGCACAGAGGAGCCAGGATAAAATGTAAAACTACTCCAACTGTGTTTGGACAAAAAAAAAAAAAAAGTAATATACACTGATGATGGCTTTTCGGTGAGAAAACTAAGGTGTAATTTTCCTTTTTGAGTGAACTATTGCTTTAAGTATATCCTCCAATACTTTCACTCCCAGTCAAGTACTGTACACTTTGTACTTCATACTTTTTTTAAGGCTGATATATAATGTACTAATTGCAAAGTGAAATTTAGCATTTCAGCTATTCAATCACATCCACTCTAATTGAGATCAAGAACTATATAGTATGGCATACAGAAATCCTAAAAGCCAAGAAAAAGCTCCTGTGCAGTACAATGAAATGATAGATTAGGCGGTCTGGATGTTTAATGACAGTGCTGGAGCTGGTCTGATGTGTGCTGTCGTGACCACAATGAAGACGAGACACACAAGGCATGAACCAAGGTCAAGATGTGACAGGGGTCAGAGAGGGGCTAGCTACGCAGAAAAAGATGACACTATGGGAAGACAGAATGCCAGCAAAGGGGAAAATAAAAAAGCGAAAGAATTGATTCACTGCTGTCTTTGCTCCCATGCAAAATTTGGAGGCTTATTTCTTCGGTGTCAAGCCGAGCCCCCCTGTACACCCCTTGGTGGTGACAAATGGTATGACCGAGTGATATTCAGAGCCGAGTAGCATTACCATGCCGTCTCTCCGTTTGGCCAGCGTTCAGAGAGAGAGAGAGAGAGAGGGGGGCGAGAGATGGCGAAGAGTCTTTGAGACAGCGGCACTGCTCTACGCCAGGTAAACCCACAAATCACACAACCCAACACTTCCGCTGCGCTTTCCCTTTGCACTTTTGCGCTCTCTTTTCTCAGTCGCCCCCGCGTCATAAAATGCGAGGGTGTCTGCAGACTAGGCAGCTACACTGCGGGCAACAGTCCTCCCTCTTCCTACAGTTCCAGCTGCCCATCGCGGACACTACTGAGTCCATCAGTGACATCAAGGTGTGAAAGACTCCGCCCACTTGGCCTGTGTCAAGATCAGTATGTGTGAATGCTGGGAAAGCCTTTAGGACACGCGACAGAGTGGCACTAGGGACAGAGGGATCAGAGATTGGCAAGCGGGTTTTGCGCTTTCGGCTTTAGCTTTCTCTTGGAGAAAGAACAGGACGTGTTAGTGCTGCAGTTGGCACAACTACAGAGATGACCCAGCCTCGTTTTAATGTGTAGAGAAAGAGACATACAAGCTAAATGGGTGAATTGAATGGAAATGGTCGCATTTCAGCTCAAAATCAAAAGCAAGTGTATTTTGCATAAAGTACATGAAGCCCATTCCAGAGATCAGTCAGTTCTTTTAGAATTTTCAAAACAATTAAATGGATAATTCAGCCAAAAATGAAAACCCAGTCATTATTTCCTCATGCTAATGTTGTTCTTATGATGTTTACTCATGTTATTTATTTTTCAGACCACAGAAAGAAAGAAGTAAAAAGACAAAATGACTTCTGCTCCTCCAATCAGTGAATGAAGAGATAGTTCATCCAAAATGGAAAACTCTGTCATCATTTACTCACCCTTCACTTGGTCAAAACCTAATTGAGGGATTTTTTAAATGTTGAACACAAAAAAAGTTTTTTAAAAATGTTGAAAACCTGTAACCACTCACTTCCAAAGTATTGTTTTTCTTATTATTGAAGTCGCACATTTTGCCAAGTACGGTGGCGATCCTGAATTAACACCAAAGCTGTGTTCACACCAGATGCGGAACGCAAATTGCGCTATTTGCGCATGAATAGACGCGTGAACATTTCGAGTTTACTCACTTGTGCGTCAAATCTGCTTCATTCATGCGTCAAATTCACTTCACAACAGATACAGATTTGCATGATGGGCAGGGCTTCTGTCTGCTCGGTGACTCTAGCTTTGTTGCTAAATGGCGAACATTTATTTTATTGAGAGAATAGCTGTGTTTATGTGCTTTAGGAAGACTAAAAAACAGCCTCGATTCGTTTGGAGCCGTGTCCGAGTCCACTAGATCCTTTTAGAGGTGCATTCAGCTCTATGAGCTCATAAAATCCTCCAGAAATGAAACCTGGATGATGGAGGCTTTCAGCGGTGCTTCTGACTGAGCCGAGCCTATTTAATGAACTGATGTCGGTGGCAGCAGGAGGATTTTGCCCCGGGACACCAACAACAGGTGCTACATTATAATCATGCCCCCACAAGAGCAAGCTCCTGACTGGTTAACGTGGCGTGAATTTCCCCTATAGTTTAGATTTTTGAACTCGAGCGATTTGAGTGAAATACGCGGTATGTGGGTCATCCGTACAAAATGCTCAACTGGGGCCGCCTCATTCATGCGTATTGTGCCGTGGGATGTCTATTCGTGTCTTTGCATTGACTTAACATGTAAATTACTCTCGCTTGACACTTCATCCGCGTCTGGTGTGAACGCAGCATAAGGCTGCATTTACACTGCAGATCTTGATGTTCAATGCTGATTTTTTGTGACTGTTTCCATTTTTTTTTTTTGATGACCGGCTTACATCATCTTTTAAAAGTGACTCGTATCCGATTGTCTGCCTTTACACAGCACATGGCAATGGCAAAATGACCAGGAAAAAAGAGCGGGCGCTGACCACCAGCTGATAATTAAAGAGCACTCTTTTCTCCATTACTGTGTTTAATGTGTGTGTGTGTGTGAGTGTTTGTGTGTGTGTGCTTAAATAATAAATAGTAATAGAAATAATAATACTAGAAAGATAAATAATATTCTTTATATAAATATTTGATGTTGCTCTCACAATTTAAATTTCATTTTTGTTTTGTTTTATCAGTTTAAAGATTTCGCAGGTTAATAGTCACCTAAATGTTCAATAGGTTTATAATTGTACCTCAATGTCGTGACAGATCCACCTGCCGCCGCTAGTAGGCGCCACTAACTCGGTCAGTTCTCTTGTCCAAAGAATATAATCACCATTCTTTGATACTCCTTTAGATTTGTGCTGGTTGATATTTTACCATTAAATATATGTATGCAAAGCATTTGTCCTTTTGTGGTGCAAAAATAAAGATACAGATCTCTGGAGCAACATCTAGGTGAGTAAACGATGTCAAAATTATCATTTTTAAATGAACAGAGCATTTAGGGACATTTTTTCCCACAAATCTATGTTACGGTGGTGCTACAAAATGTTTTATTGATGCTATTCATTACATTCTTGTAAATTCCAAGTCATATATATTTTTTTCCTTTTGCTGAATATTTGTTTTTCCTGATTTGTTTTGTGCTGTATGAAATATGTCTTCACTATGTTTATGTACGATTTACACAAACATAAAAAAATGACCCAGACAGAAATGGGATAACAACAGAAAATGACCAAAACTGGCAAGTGAAATTAAATCAGATTTAAAAATGGAAAATAGAAACCAAAATGTTCTAGAAGTCGCGCCAAGCAAGCTGCTGAAGGCCAAAAAGTATATATCGTGCATATCTTGCCTTACAAACTTGCACTGTAATTAAGCCACACCACAGTAGCTTTTGTTAAAACACAGGAGAACCTGCTTCTGTTCTCAGAAAAGCAAAGCAGTTTTCATCAATGTTAAACACATCGCTTAAACACATTGTTGTATTTTATTTTAGGTCACATGACTAAGACAAAGACATTTTTTCAGCACAAAATTACACGTATTCAACAGAGGGTCCAACCAAGGGCACATGTTACCTGACACTTCCCCAGGAGAGGTTCCTGTCCGGCCAATGTTGGTCAGCAGGTGGTCAATATTAGGCACAGGCTGAGACTCCACAGCACTTTCCTCCTGGACTGTAGTCTGAACAAAAACAAACATAAAAAACAACATTTGTACAAGAAATCTGGGATTTTTTGGAGATTTTCTGCATAGAAGTTCAGGGTGGTGGCTACTTTCTCAAAAGAGCAAATACAAAAAAAAAAAAAAAAACATTAAAAGTCAAATTCAAATAAACATAAACTGGAAAATCATTTTGTTTAAAAAATGACGATTAGCAAATATTAGGGGAATATTATGTTCAAGGTCTGGCGAGACTAAATCGCAACTGACTTCAACTGTATATATATATATATATATATATATATATATATATATATATATATATATATATATATATATATATATATATATGTGTGTGTGTGTGTGTGTGTGTGTGTGTGTGTGTGTATCGCTCACCTAAAGTTCTATGTGTAACGTCAGACAACAATTAACTAGAATTCATCCATTTAAACATTATTCTACCACTGGTGTAATTTTAGCGACAATATTTTAAGGTCAAAAAACTTTCAAAGTGCTGCTTTAAAGCTTCCCATACCCACATGCAGTGGGTAATAATACAATTTACATGTGTACATTGTACAATTGTGTGTTTGCTTTAAGAAATGGATTTATAGAGTTATTAGATTCCAACAAAAGGGAAAACGTTTTTTACAGTTCCACCTATACAACTTTAAAGACATAAAGGGGTAAAAATGCAATCTCTCTTAACACTTAAGAGGTTAAAGAATAAGTTCACCCAAAAAATGAAAATCACCTTGTTTCTTCTCCTTTGTCTCAATTTAAATCTTTATGAGTTTCTTTTCTTCTGTGCAAAACGAAAACCCACTGACTTCCATAATAAAAAAGTGAAGTTCCACAAATTAATTTTGAGAAGAGTATGTGATATGTTCCACTACAGCTAATCATTATCTAGCCTATCAGATCATTGTAAAACTACTATAAATGTCCTGCCAAAACTTCAATCCCTATTTTCATTTTTGGGAAAAAAAACAAAACTCTATCCTTCCCTTCTGCCTTCTCCTTATTCTATGATCGGGCAACATGGTGGCTCAGTGACTGGTGCTGCCAAAGGTTCAAGTTCTAATTGAGCCGGTCGGCACTCTCTGTGTGGAGTTTGCATGTTCGCCCCGTGTTCGCGTTTTCCCCGGGTGCTCCGGTTTCCTCCCATAGTCAGGTCCACCATATCAGCCAAAGTATAAAACAGGGGGCTCTCGAGAAATACCTGATCTCGTATCCCTCCTAATGCTCACTGACCAGGCGGGAACCTTGGGCTCATCTATCACCGAGCTCAGGGTTCTCTCCCGGGACAGCATGCCAAACCTGCTATTAAAGTGGAGCAGTATCTAAGTGTGAACTCTTGAAATACTATGGAAGTCAACCAGCATTTTTATAAATATCTTCTTTTGTGTTCTAAAGAAAAAAAAGATACTAAAATGGTAGAATAATTAATTTTTTAAGTGAACTATCCCTTTAAGGTGAAATCTAATACCAAACCCTCTAAAACATAAAGGTTCCCAGTTTCTGCTGTGATGACACTGTGTTGCTTAAAGAAACTTTCAGTGGACAGTTCTTGAAAAGAACCATTTTGTGTGTGTGTGTGTGTGTGTGTGTGTGTGTGTGTGTGTGTGTGTGTGTGAAAAGTCTAATCTTATAGGTTCTTCAAGGAACCACCGATCCCACTGATTCATTCATTAATTTTCTTGTCGGCTTAATCCCTTTATTAATCCAGGGTCACCACAGCGGAATGAACCACCAACTTATCCAGCAAGTTTTTACACAGTAGATGCTCTTCCAGCTGCAACCCATCTCTGGGAAACATCCACACACACATTCACACACACACACACACTCATACACTACGGACAGTTTAGCCTACCCAATTCACCTGTACCGCATGTCTTTGGACTGTGGGGGAAACCGGAGCACCCGAAAGAAACCCACGCGAAGGCAGGGAGAACATGCAAACTCCACACAGAAACGCCAACTGAGCCGAGGTTCGAACCCGCGACCCAGCGACCTTCTTGCTCTATCCCACTGATTATTTACTTTTATTAGTTCACTTCACAGAAAACACATCTAAAAGAATTTCAAAAACTAATAAATGAAAAAAAAACATTGCAATAAAGCAAGCAGTTGTACTAATACACACCGTAGGCTCGTTGTCACCCTCCTCAGTGAAGAACCAGTCATACTGTAAAAAAACATCAAAGTTATTTCACCAAATTTAAAAGCGTGACACATTTAAAAGAGAGGCTTTCTTCATCAGAACAACAAGTTACTCACATGCTGAATGAGCGTTTCGACAATCTTGTATTGGTCTGGCATGTGTGTGACCATGTGAGTCATGTTGTCTTCAGATGTTCTCACCAGCGTCGGCCCGAACACAATAGCCAGATTCCGTGGCTCCATCTGACACAACGATAAATGGACATGAGACATTTCTCCTTTTTAGAGATATCAAACAAACACGATAGAAAAGTGGATACAGGAAATCAGGGGTGTCCAGATCCAATCATGAATCGAACAGCACCTCACAATCAGGAGTCAAATTTAATGTTACCTTTTGTTTGTTTTGTAAATGAGTCAGATTTTTAAAAATATAAATGTAAAAATGCCAACGAGTAGAGGGCAATGCACAAGGCATCGGCAAGCAAATCAAGGCAAAGGCAGGCACAGCTTAGTGTATTCAGCATTGAATTCTATTGTGTTATTAATAGAATTGTTTCAAGAGTTCACACTTAGCTGATGATTGATTATAAGCAAGTTTGGCATGCTGTCCCGGGAGAAAGCCCTGAGCCCAAAAGGTCCTTGAGCCCTGGGCTCCCTCCTGTTTGCAGGGCGAGAGGGGAGCATTGAGCTCAGGTAGATCTCGACAACTCCCCCCTTGATAAGAGCTGATTGCTAAAATGATTGCTATTTAGAGATATGCTGCAGGATGAGAGATTGACTGTAGTGCTAAATTTAGATTGATCAATTCACTTGTAGTGCATGTTTTTGGAGCTGTGTTCAATCATAATCACGTGATCCGCTCGAAATTAGTTTATAAATAAACTTCACTTATGTTAAAAAAAAAACATGAAAAAACAATTTACCTTGTTCTTTTCTGAATTTTCAGCCACAGTTTTGAGATGTGCCGAGAGGAACTTCAGCGTTTCATAATGATGATCAGGCAACTCGTGAAGCTGAAATTTAAGAGGTTTATTTGGGACTGCGATCACATACAGTATAGTAAAATTATTACTACTATAAACAAACTTAAATGAGGTAAACAACTGCTTACCAATCTCTTCAGCACTTTGAGTCTCTCTACGGGATCCTCTATTCTGTTGCCATCGATGAAGTCTGCATATCTTTCTACAGAGGTTAGAGTATGAATAAAAATGATTGAGGTATTAAGTCAAGTTTTAAAAGTGAATGGGTTTTAAAGGGATATTTCAGCACAAAATTAACATTTAATTAGTATTTACTCTCCCTCAAAAATACATCTTTTTGTGTCTCTTTCTTCCATTGAACAATAGAACATATAATTCTAGACAAGCAAAGTATATTGTTTTCAGAAATAATTTCAGAGTTTTTCTTTAAAAAGCTAAATAATCTTGTTTTTTGCTTGTTCTAAGGGAAACACTCATTTAATTTTGACATATTATTTCTGAAAACAAGGGAATATTTTTTACTTGTCCAGAAAATGCTTCCTGATTTAAGAATTTAAAGATTTTTGGACTAGAAATAAGACGAAAAAAAGTGTTGAAACTGCATGTCTACAGTATATGATGCACAGCCACTAGATGGCGAACTACACAGTTCATTTTGAGAAAGAGCAAGATACATATAAATCAAATATGAGTCATAAAGCCCCTCAAGCAAGGGAATTCCAACAAGGACTTTTACCGTTAGTGAAGAGCGGTTCAGGAAGTTTCCTGAAGAAGGATTTGAGTAAACTGCTGATCACATTCAAGTCCTTCCATTTCTGTAGAGCAAAAAAAAGAGCTCAAGGAAGAAGCAGAGAAAATATGACATGATATACTCAATGACAGATATATACACTTACATCATCCTGAATATCTATGTCAGCCATTCCCTTGTTATTGAGCTCTTCCTGCATGATGGAGATGGCAGCGTTGTTTCCTGGCACTCTGTAGATGCCTGTGTATTCCAGTCCTCGTTCTTCCACCAGGTTACAGCACACTTCAACTATCAGAGGAACAAACTAAAAACAAACAAAGCTCGATCACATACCTGCCAATATAAACTTTCAAGACTGTACGCCATGTGAATATATGCTGCTTGCATAGACAAATGTGACTCTAAAATCAGCAGTATGCAAATTGTTTTTATGGTTTCTAAATACAAACTTAAATAAATGATTACTGGTCAAACATCATTAAACACTTGCAGCTAAAAATATCACTATTCTAAAGAGGTTAATCCCTTAAAAAATGATGAGATTGAAGTCATAATATTTTGAGAATAAAGTTGAATAATTACGAGAATAAGGTCAAAATATTATGAGAAAAAAGTCAAAGTTATACTAGAATAAAGTCATAATATTATGAGAATTAAGTCAAAATATTACAAGAATAATGTCAGAGTTATACGAGATAAACATTGAAATGTTACGAGAATAAAGTCGAAATGTTACGATAATGAAGTCGTAGTTAAACGAGATTAAAGTAAAAATATTTCAAGAATAAAGTCAAAATATTCAGAGAATAAATTTTTAATATTTTGATAATGAAGTCAGAGTTTTACTAAATTAAAGTCATAATATTTTGGGAGTAAAGTCAAAATACTACGAGAGTAAAGTCAGACTTGTACGAGATAAACATCGAAATGCTACAATAAAAAAGTAGTAGTTATACGAGATTAAAGTCGTGATATTTTAAGAAAAAAGTGGAATTATTACGAGAACAAGATCCGAATATGAGAAAAAAGTCAAAGTTATACTAGATTAAAGTCATAATATTTTGAGAAGAAGCTGAAATATTACGATAATAAAGTCAGAGTTCTATTAAAAAAAGTCATTATATTTAGAGAATAAAGTCAAAATATTACCAGAATAAAGTCGGAGATGTACAAGATAATTATTTAAATGTTACAAGAATAAAGTCAGGGTTATACGATATAAACATTGAAATGTTACAAGAATAAAGTCGAAATGTTACGATAATAAAATCATCGTTATATGAGATTAAAGTTGTAATATTTTGAGAATAAAGTTGAAATATTTCAAGAAAAAATGTGTAATATTATGAGAGTAAAGTCAGAGTTATACAAGATTAAATTCGTAATTGTTCGAAATAAAGTTGAAATATTTCGAGAATAAAGTCGAAGTTGTACGAGATTAGTCATAATATATTGCGAATAAATTTGAAACATTATGAGAATAAAGTTGAAGTTGTACGAGATTAAAGTCATGACATTTTGAGAATAAAGTTGAATTATTACGAGAATAAAGTCAAAGTTGAGCAAGATTAAAGTCGTAATATTTTGAGAATAAAGTTGAATTATTACGACAATAAAGTTGAAGTTGTAAGAGATAAAAGTCATAATATTTTGCGAATAAAGTTGAAATATTATGAGAATAAAGTCAAAGTTGAGCAAGATTAAAGACGTAATATTTTGAGAATAAAGTCGCAATATTTCGAGATTAAAGTTGAAATATTCCGAGAAATTGTTTTAAATATTATGAAAGTAAAATCGTAAAGTCGTACAATATAATTACAAAACATCTACAGTAAATACATAATATACACATTATAGAAAGAACACAAGTCTCTTGATTACTACAAATAAATATCAGCATTTTCACATTAATATTTGTTGAATAATAATACAAAATCTTTAAAAAATATTAATATGAATAATAACTGTAAAACTGCTAGTCATATTTAAGGTTTAGTGAATTGCATTTAATTGCAATTTATACAGTCAAGTTTCCAAAAATATTGTGTTTCCTTTACTAAACAGTAAATTGTTTTAAAATACATTATTTCAGTTGCAAGTTCTTGTTTTATTAAAAGTAAGCTTATTCAAAATAGACGTCTTAAGTATGTCATAGACATCATGAATGTCATGTGAAACAGTAAAATAAGGACACTGTCTTACTCTGTTGTTCTGAGCTGGAGGACAGTCGTCTAGTCTTACTCCAAAAGTGACTCCAGGAGACGGTTTCTTCTCAAATGGCTTTCTCATCAGTCCAGGGATGCCCTTCCTCCATGTGCCCTTATCCTTGGGCGGGCTGGTTTCATCTATTCACAAAACAATCATTATAAGAACCAAACATTTGCACTGAATCAATGACCTTTAATATACAGTACTGTGCAAAAGTGCTGAGAACCATACCAACTTTTTTTGGCCTAAGACTTTTGCACAATATATAATCAATCAGTCTCTTTAATACGACAGGGTTTCTACAGGTTTCACCAAGTCAAATTCAAGACTTTTAAAGACCTTTTTAAGACCATTAAGAATGAAATATCAGACTTTAAGAGGGCAAAACACTAAGGATTTATTTTTGTAATGGCCAGTGTATTATTTTTTACTCACCCCATTAAAATTTAAATTCAGTTTTTTCTTAGCCAGATATGTTAAATAAAGTTTCAAAGCATTGTTATATACATTTATATTTTATATTACAATAAATTGTTAAAACAATAATAAACCTAATTTATTCACAACATACATTTAAGCATTAATACATGCAGAACTTTGAAACAAATGTTATTGTAAGGATGTAAGGAAGATTATTAAACTGTATTGATAAACAGAGTTCATCAATTTTACTTTTGTTAAACGTTTTTTTATTTTATTTTAGATGGATTGTTGGTTGAAGCCATTGGGTAGCTTTACATGGGCCAAGAAAAAAATTAAGACCTGTTTAAAAGTATTTAAGATATACAACACCATATTTATTATTATATATCGAATTAAAGACTTATTCCGGTCTAAATTTTAGTGTTTGAAATGTAAGACTTTTTAAGACTCCGCGGAGACCCTGTAAAAACATGCAGAAAATATAGGAAATATGTACAAAAACAACAACAACTGCACAACCTTTTCGTGTTCAAGAAAAAATCTGTTTAACCTGGTTTCAGTTGTTTTTTTCTAATTGTCCTGACATGTTCTGAAATAATGTGCTTCTTTTAGCACTTTCCAGAGTTCTTCATTAGGTTTAGAGTGTCTTATCTTTCTTTTTCTGTCCAGGTGATCTCATACAGGCTTTATAATATTTAGATCTGGACCCTGTGGAGGCCATTTCATGACTGTCTGTGTTTCATCAGCTGTTTTCTTTCTCCAAATAGGATTACACTGCAATTAGCGGATCCTTATCATGTTGAAAATAAAAACTTTTACCAATGAAGTCCTTTTCAGAAGGAATGGCTGAAATTTAAAGGCTTAAATAGGTTAATTAGGCAAGTTTGGGTAATCAGGCAAATCAATATATAACAGTGATTTGTTATGTTGACATTTTTAAAAAATATATGTAGCTTAAGTTTAACCTTAGAATGTTTTAAATAAAAAACTGCTTTTATTCTAGCTGAAATAAAAAATAAGACTTTCTCTAGAAGAAAAATAAAATATTATCAAAAATACTGTAAAAAATCCTTGCCCTGGAGTAATAATTTTGACCTCAACTGTGTATTTGTGTTTTACAAAATCAAGTGTAATATCAGGCCTCTTTTAGCTTCCAGAGTTCTTCATTAGGTTTAGACTGTCTTATCTTTCTTTTTCTGTCCAGGTGATCTCATACAGCCTCTATTATATTTAGGTCTGGACCCTGTGTAGGCCATTTCATCACTTATTGTGTTTTATTAGCTGTTTTCTTTCTCCAAATATGATTTCACTGCAATTAGCAGATCATTATCATACTGAAAATGAAAACTATCACCACTTAAGTCATTTCCAGAAGGAATGACATAAATTTACAGGCTAAAATAAGTTAATTAGGCAAGTTGGAGTAATTAGGCAAATCATTGCATAACAGTGGTTTGTTCTGTCAACAATAAAAAAAAAATTGCTTAAGTTTGACCTTAGGATGTTTTAAATAATAATAATAAAAAAACTGTTTTCATTCTAGCTGAAATAAAAAATAAGACTTTCTCTAGAAGACAGTGGAAGAAATGCAGCACAAACCAGGACAAACAGCCTCTCTCCAACATCGTCTTTCACATTTCTCAAACAATTCAACCAAAATATTTCAAACTCTAACCTAACCCCTTTTCATTCATTCATTCAAACTTTATATATAAAGCACTCAACAGCCACTAAAGAGCAGACCAAAGTGCTGTACAATGAAATCCTACATGGAATGAACCTATATGAAGATATATGCGCATATAAGAAACCTATATGCAGTATATATGCACATATATAAAAATATATATGCTGCATATATGCGTATATATGCCGCATATACGCAAAATTGAAGTGCATATATGTGCATATACAGGCCATATACTGTAGGTCTCCTGTATTGCTTCTTTATATTCACATATAAGCCCTTTATGTACATACTACATATGTCTCCTATATAGCTCATATCTCACTTTGGCAATTGTCATACATGATGTCTAGCTCATATTTTCTATTATCAAGGCAATAACTAAGAACAACAACAAATAAAAAGCAAAAACGTATGTATGTATGAACACTTGAACTTGGTATTACATGTAATTGGCATGTTAGGGAATTTAGCTATGGCAAATAATTGAGAGCCCACATGAAAAGAACCTATATAAACATACATGTTTTAATATAGGTTTTGATATAGTTTTTTAATATATGTGACATATATAAAATTGGCGGTTTTCCTATATTATATGTACATAGGAAAACCCCCAATTTTATAAATGTCACATATATTAAAAACCTATATTAAAACATATATGCCTAAATAAGCTCTTTCCGTGTGGGATGAGTTCACAAAACAACACAAGATTTGTAAAACATACTTAAAATTTATTTATTTTTTTTATTTATTTATCAGGATCCCCATTAGCCACTACCAAGGTAGTGGCTATTCTTCCTGGGGTCCATCGAAGAAATAAAGACAAAACAAACACATATGTAAGATATACACATAAACACTATTTAAAACAAATATAAAATCAAGTGTCACGTTCGAAATAAAAAGTTCTACATAAAATCCTGAGTAAAAGCTCTTAATGCTGTTACCTTTGTGCATGGCTTTCCTGTCATGTTCCTTGTTCGGTGAGTGAGGGCTTGTGGCTTTATTCTCCCCTTTACCTCCCAGTAACGTCTGCCTGATGCTCAGTGACTGGCGGGACGCCTTGGGGGAAGGTTCTGTCTTACTGCTGGGTGGACTGAGAAAAACAAAACAAAAATAAAGTAAAGATCGGTCAAGTCAAGATCTGCAGACTTCAAAATTAAACAGAAACTCTTCTCCATTCCTTGCTTACCTCATCAGAGTGTTGTACTCCTTTATTTTCCGGTTGATAAGGTCTGTGCTTGTAACAGTTGCATTCTTAAAAACAAAGCAAACAAAAAGACAATGGATGAAACTTAAGAGTGGAATCCCCAAACACACTCGAGGGCTCGTGGATAGCTCTGTGCTATCAGAAAACAGAAGACGACACCCTGTAGTGAAGATGCAGAGCTTTTCCTTAAGAGTCTATTTTTACTCCGTTAAGCCTTAGGTTATGTTAGGCTATTCTAGGAAGGAACTTTAAATAGGGTCTTTTCCTTGGTTCACAAGGAAACACGAAACAAGCCACCGTTTCAATATCGGACACTAGAGCTGAATAGACTTATGCAATCATTTAAAGGTGAAGTGTGGTATCTATAACGCTCACGTCATTAAATGAAACCGTTTATAAATCGTTGTTTGTTAAAAACAACCCAGACTGGCCCACTTTAAAACCTGTGGAAATGTCATCAAAAGTATTTGTTTAAGACTTTTCTTAAAAGACATTTCATAGCAGCTTTACCAAAAGTAATACTGTTGTCAATAATGCCTTAGTGCTTTAACATACTGTAAAGCAAGTTTCAGGGTATCTATTCTAAGCCAATTATCAATTTCCTTGACTTTCACTGTCAAAAAAAAATAAAGAAAATAAAACGAATTTCTGTATAAATTAACAGAAAACTATGGAGCCAGATCAGCATCAAAAATAATACATTTATGAACTAAATTTCATACATGCACAGCACAATTCACATTTACAAAATACAAATCCAATTCATAAATTCAAAATTCATAAATACAACACATAATTATTGAAATCACTAGTAAATATCATTAATATTTTTTGCCAAATGAATTGTATTTGTGCATAATATGAATCATGTTTTCAATTTAAAAACTGGGTTTGTGTGTTTTTTAATCATGTTTTGAATTTTCAAATTGGGTTTGTTTGTTTTTTAATCATGTTTTGAATTTATGAATTGGATTTGTGTGCTTTTCAATCATGTTTTGAATTTATGAATTGGATTTGTGTGCTTTTCAATCATGTTTTGAATTTATGAATTGGGTTTGTTTGTTTTTCAATCATGTTTTGAATTTATGAATTGGGTTTGTTTGTTTTTTAATCATGTTTTGAATTTATGAATTGGGTTTGTTTGTGTTTTAATCATGTTTTGAATTTATGAATTGGGTTTGTTTGTTTTTTAATCATGTTTTGAATTTATGAATTGGGTTTGTTTGTTTTTTAATCATGTTTTGAATTTATGAATTGGATTTGTTTGTGTTTTAATCATGTTTTGAATTTATGAATTGGGTTTGTTTGTTTTTTAATCATGTTTTGAAATTATGAATTGGGTTTGTTTGTTTTTTAATCATGTTTTGAATTTATGAATTGGGTTTGTTTGTGTTTTAATCATGTTTTGAATTTATGTATTGGGTTTGTTTGTGTTTTAATCATGTTTTGAATTTATGAATTGGGTTTGTTTGTTTTTTAATCATGTTTTGAATTTATGAATTGGGTTTGTTTGTTTTTCAATCATGTTTTGAATTTATGAATTGGATTTGTTTGTGTTTTAATCATGTTTTGAATTTATGAATTGGGTTTGTTTGTTTTTTTAATCATGTTTTGAATTTATGAATTGGGTTTGTTTGTGTTTTAATCATGTTTTGAATTTATGAATTGGGTTTGTTTGTTTTTCAATCATGTTTTGAATTTATGTATTGGGTTTGTTTGTTTTTCAATCATGTTTTGAATTTATGAATTGGGTTTGTTTGTTTTTCAATCATGTTTTGAATTTATGAATTGGATTTGTTTGTGTTTTAATCATGTTTTGAATTTATGAATTGGGTTTGTTTGTTTTTTAATCATGTTTTGAATTTATGAATTGGGTTTGTTTGTGTTTTAATCATGTTTTGAATTTATGAATTGGGTTTGCTTGTTTTTCAATCATGTTTTGAATTTATGAATTGGGTTTGTTTGTGTTTTAATCATGTTTTGAATTTATGAATTGGGTTTGTTTGTGTTTTAATCATGTTTTGAATTTATGAATTGGGTTTGTTTGTTTTTCAATCATGTTTTGAATTTATGAATTGGGTTTGTTTGTTTTTCAATCATGTTTTGAATTTATGAATTGGGTTTGTTTGTTTTTTAATCATGTTTTGAATTTATGAATTGGGTTTGTTTGTGTTTTAATCATGTTTTGAATTTATGAATTGGGTTTGTTTGTTTTTCAATCATGTTTTGAATTTATGAATTGGATTTGTTTGTGTTTTAATCATGTTTTGAATTTATGAATTGGGTTTGTTTGTTTTTTAATCATGTTTTGAATTTATGAATTGGGTTTGTTTGTGTTTTAATCATGTTTTGAATTTATGAATTGGGTTTGTTTGTTTTTCAATCATGTTTTGAATTTATGTATTGGGTTTGTTTGTTTTTCAATCATGTTTTGAATTTATGAATTGGGTTTGTTTGTTTTTCAATCATGTTTTGAATTTATGAATTGGATTTGTTTGTGTTTTAATCATGTTTTGAATTTATGAATTGGGTTTGTTTGTTTTTTAATCATGTTTTGAATTTATGAATTGAGTTTGTTTGTGTTTTAATCATGTTTTGAATTTATGAATTGGGTTTGTTTGTTTTTTCAATCATGTTTTGAATTTATGAATTGGGTTTGTTTGTTTTTCAATCATGTTTTGAATTTATGAATTGGATTTGTTTGTGTTTTAATCATGTTTTGAATTTATGAATTGGGTTTGTTTGTTTTTCAATCATGTTTTGAATTTATGAATTGGATTTGTTTGTGTTTTAATCATGTTTTGAATTTATGAATTGGGTTTGTTTGTTTTTCAATCATGTTTTAAATTTATGAATTGGTTTTGTATATTTACAAATTGTGTTTTGAACTTAAGAATTAGATTTTGTAAATGTGTATTGCATTGTGGATGTATGAATTATATTTAGTAAATGTATTATTTTTGAGACTGATTAGCTCCATAGAAAACAGGCTGTTGTTGTGCTTTGCATAATATTAAAATGGTAGCTTGAATATAATTTTTGCAGGACTTTAATAGCTACTATGGGAACAACACTTAATCATTTATTTAGTAATTTTGCTTGGATGAAAATTGCCCCCATATTTTTTTTGCACTTAGTCTGTAAAGTGGACATTTTGAAGCTAATGCTTTAAAAATGTATATTATACTGACATGTTAGCTCAACATGGCAGTTAACAGGTACAGTCTGGTGACTGCATTTGACCTAATTTAGGCTTGATTAAGTCAAATTTAGGAAGATTATGAAGGAAATTTAAGACTTTGACAGGGTTAAATGCTAAATATTTTTTTCTAATGCTTCATCAAAAAAATCCAATTTAGTTCTTTCTTATGTGAGCCATGTATTTGTATATATTTGTAATAAAGAAATGTTTCACTTAAATGCATTATTGTTGATTGAATGAGTTTTGGCCTAATTGTATAAATTGTGGTAATTCTAAAAGAGATGATTTAGTTTGAGTTCTTTTCTTCTGTTGAACAACAAAAAAAAAGCTATTTTGAAGAATGTTGAAAACCTGTAACCATTGACATTTATGGTAGAAAAACAAATACTATGAAAGTCAATGGTTACTAACAAAGACTTCCAACATTCTTCAATAAATCATCTTTAGAGATCAACACTGAACTGGTTCGGAACAAGTAAGGGTAGAAGATGACAGAAACATCGTGTGGTCACCAGACTGCTTCTCCACAAACAAGGAGAGGGAGAAAAATCACAAGACATTGTCTAAGAAAAATAATTCCAGAAATTTAATTCTGCATGATATTGGCATCAAATTCAAAACATACACTCAGGAGATATGTGGCTTTTGACCTATTACTTTTCTGTGTTGATCCAGGACTGATTTCACATATTTTTAATGAAATAATAAAATGTTTAGTGCGGTGCAATTTTTTTACGTTACTTAAGCATCCATAACATTTTTTCATATACAGCATTATAAACACTGGATGATGGATAATAAAGCCCAGAGTGTCTTCTTTAGAATGATACATAAACTGTGAATGTAGACCAAATCATTCAGCAACTGTAAATGTTTTAGCTTTGGGAAGATAATTTTTGAGAAAGTACCTCTGACGGTGAGGGAAAGAAGGACATCGACATAGCCTCAGAAAACTTTACAGAACTCTCATTTTGCATGCTATCTTCATCAAATTTAAAATATAAACTCATTAAATACTTGGCTTACAAGGGATATTTTTTCTAGGACATTACATTAATGTTTTCCTGTGTTTCTATATGAAAAACAAATATTGAACACAGTACAATTTTTTCCTCATGACTTTATAATGTATAACCTTTTTATTTTGTAACTTCTCCTTTTACCACAGTAAAGCACAAAGTGCCTTCTTTCCAAAGATACATAATTTAGAGTCAGGAACTGTTACTATTTAAAGTTAGGTAGGTGTAAATCCACAAAATTGAGTGCTGGCTAACAGGTTAAGTCAACCCAAGCTCATTGTGGAACCGTAGCCCCACGGACGTTTCTGCAGACCGCGAAATACATCCCGGGAGGTACGTATTCAAGCAGTTTTTGTTTTCGCAGATCCGCGAGAGGTCGCTGTGCACGCTTTTTCACGTCTCGGACGCCTCTCGCCGTTTGCGCCCACGCTGTTCTCGCGTGAAAATCGACCGTCTCGCTGTGGAGCGACCGTCTGTCCAATTGACTGGCTGAACGACCGAACGATCGACCGGGCGGCCAGCCAATCAGCCGACCCGACCGCCCTCCTCTTCCTCCTCCTTCCCTAAACCCAAGCGACGGTTTGCAAAAGCCGTCCAGAAAAAAAAAAAAAGCAAAAGCCCTTGTCTTTGATTTCGACCGCGTTTTCGGATCTCGCCACGTTCTCGCCCTTATTTTTTGGATTGTGTTTTTCATCTTACCTGATTTCTGGAACCACTCTTCCCCGAACTCGATCCCGGTCGTCCCCATGGCCGGCTTCTCCTCTTCCGGGCCTCCGTTCCGCCGACGTAACGCTGTGAGCTAAGCGAACAAACTGATAGCAGCGGGAAAGCCCTTCAATCGGAGGCGAGCCGTCAGTCGGTGAGCGGGAAGAGGAGGAGCGGAGCTGCGTCATACCGCCCTGCACCGTTCGCTCGAAAAAAACTAAACACGGCCATACGTACCTCCGGCCACGTAAATCGGGGTCTCCAGAAACGTCCGCGGGACTACGTTTCCAGAATGAGCTTGGGTTGGGTCAAGTAGTTTACCCTCCAAAATTCATTCAAAAATACATTAGAGGCAATATTGAATACAACAATAATGATAAGACATTTAAAATCTAGCAAGAGAAAACCTATTTTTTTCCTAAAAGCTCAGAATATGGTGACTTTTGTTGATTAAATTAGATTTTGTCACACAAGTACTTCAGAACTCCTAAACAAACATGAATTCTGATCTCACATGAACAGCTGGAACTGTATTAGATGAAATAACATCTGATCATTCACCTCTTCATCCAAGTTGCTGTTTTCTTGAATGACTCTGATCCAGGACAGCATCTCCTCTCGATCTTCTGCCTGGAACAGATATTCACAGTCTGACGTTGTCAGCCGCAGGACGTTCTTCCTCTTCGTGTCACTGTAGGAGATGTCTATCAGACAGGCTTTGATACTGATTGGCAGGGGCTCTTCTTCGATTTGAGAGTTGGCATTGGTTTGTCCGTCTCTCTTGTCTTTGTACAGGTAGAGACAGTGGCCACGAAGCACAGCGTAGATCTGCTTCCATGAGCGCATGCTACTGCCGACACGCTGTAGAAGAGACAGCTGAATTACTGTATGATTCTTTAAGCTATGACTGAAGATGAAGCAGTAAATAAACACTAAACAGCCTACTTTGAAATTATATAGAGTTGAAGTCCAACTTATTAGCCCTCATAAATTTCCAAATGATGTTTAACAGAGCAAGGAATTTTTCACAGTATTTCCTACATATTTTTTTTCTTCTGGAGAAAGTCTTACTTGTTTTATTTAGGCTAGAATAAAAGTAGTTTAAGCTTTTTAAAACTATTTTAAGGTCAATATTATTATCCCCCTTAAGCAATATTTTTTCCCAGATTGTCAACAGAACAAACCATCTTGCCTAATTACCCTAACACACCTAGTTAACCTAATTAACCTATTTAAGCCTTTAAATGTCTGCTAATTTTTTTTTCTTCTGGAGAAAGTTTTATTTTTTTTTATTTTGGCTAGAACAAAAACAGTTTTTATGTTTTTCAAAAACTATTTTAAGGTCAGCATTATTAGCCCCTTTAAGCTATATTTTTTTGATAGTCTACAGAACAAACCGCCATTATACAATAACTTGCCTAATTACCCTAACCTGCCTAGTTAACCTAATTCACCTAGTTAAGCCTTTAAATGTGACTTTAAACTGTATAGAAGTGTCTTGAAAAATATCTTGTCAAATATTATTTACTGTCATAGCAAAGATAAAATAAATCAGTTATTAGAAATGAGTTATTAAAACTATTATTTTTAGAAATGCGTTGAAAAAATTATTCTCTCTGTTAAACAGAAATTGGGGGAAAAATAAACGGGGGCTAATAACTTTGACTTCCATTGTATATATATATATATATATATATATATATATATATATATATATATATATATATATATATATATATATATATATACATACATATATACATACATACATACATACATACAGAGGCATGTGGACATAAAAGAAAATGTAAAAATTTGTAATTTTAGTATGCCAAAGTCAAATTTATGCATATAAAAGATATTTTCACAACAATTAAACTGTGGCTAGTGAAAAAGGTGATTGGGTAGTAACGTTGGAAAACTACTATCCACAGTGACTGGTAATCAAACAAGTAAAAATACATTTTTTATGCATAAATTTGACTTCTACATGCTAATATTACAATTTTTAAAATTTATTTTAAGTCCACATGCCTCCTTTTTTCACATGACTTTTTAGGACTCAACACTAAGGTTTTCCCTAGTTTTTCTCTGGCCATATTCAACTAATTATTTCAATATTTGAAATAATATATAATTATTTTATATATTTAAAATAATGCGTCAAAATAAGCTAAAAATAGCTGTATACATAGACTTTTTATTCAACAAAAATGTTCTTAAAAACACAATTGACATTTATCGAAAGGCTGGGAAAGGGCCAGACTCGGAGGCCTCGTGGCCCATATGGTAGGAAAAGGCCAACGAGTAGCGGTGGAACACAGTTTTGGCTCACTGTATCAAATGATCTCTTCATTAAGTATTTTATGTAAAATAAACATCCTAAACTGACTCAAGTAATATTGTAAATGAGGACTTTATTCTTCTACAGAAGTAAGATTTTATTAGGGTGCCAAGTGGCAAATTTGTATACTTTGTCCACCACTTACCATATGTCATAGGACATGCCTCTGGCACTACTTTAGCTACTTTAACTAATAATAGCTGTTGTTTTTATGGGTTTAAATACTTGTTGCAACAAGCTTCCAAACTACAGTGTGTTTGCCAGGGAATCCTACAGCATCACAGAGCTGCATGCTCATTCAGCACTGACTTACAAAGTTTCCCTGTTTAGCATTTTTTACCTTGCTCTTTTCTGAGTTGAGCTGCCGGAAATAAAGTGAACCCTCCTTGGTGGCATCGGTGAAGACATCTGAATTAGAGTCTCTTCTAGAGCCCGAGTCCTCAGAGCAGCGGTCAACAGCCTGAAACGCATCACACATGGATCAGCCTGCTGCATTATTCATGTTCTATGACTATGACTATTGAAAACCCTATAGGACACTTCAGATTGGTGACTGGAGGATGACTGAGAGCAAGAGACAAACTGAATGAGATGTCAGATACAGTATATACCTCGATATATATATATATATATATATATATATATATATATATATATATATATATATATATATATACCTATCTATGTCTGTCTGTTCATCGGTATGTCCATCCTATTGTTATCCTATTCATTTCTATCATTACTGTTACTTGGTTTTACATTTATATCACATTATGATGCTTTTGTCCAAAGAAACTTATAACTGAGGAGGCATTCAGAAATTCAACAAGAAGTAGTAGTAATCCGCTTGTTAAGTGGTGACGTGTTTGTGACGTATGTAATACTGTTTCCGGGTCCAAGCCGCCATTCATTTGAGTGGAGAAATCTTAAAATCATAGTGGACACAACAATCTCTGGGTTTGCTGCAGCATAACAAATACCAAAAATGTAACAATTTATAAAAAATTAATCCCTTTATGGTCATCGGATATTAGGCATGGACATATATACTGCGATCGTGATTTTCGAAAGTATTAAATCGCTTTGTAAACGTTTATTATTACCATTTCATGAGTCTCCCATTTCAGTTGAATAGATCGCTTGGACCCGGAAGCCGCTTCAAGTGACGTCACACTTAACAAGCGGATACATACAAGAAGTGCTAGTTAAACGAATGAACTCTTTGTGCTAAGACAATTAAGTGCATGAGTTAGGAGAGGGAGTGTCTTTATTCAATGATTTAAGGTCTACAGCTAAATATCTCAGTGAATTAAAGCCTTTTTAATGCCTAAAATATTGTTTTTATAATGTAAGACATACTTTTATTCTTGTTTATGTAAAGCACTTTGAATTGCCATTGTGTATGAAAAGTGCTATATAAATAAACTTGCCTTGCCTTAAGACTTTATAAGACATCAGGACACCCTCTAATTAACCAGACAATAATAATAAAAAAAAACATAATGGTGATGCTTTAATCTGGCACTTCTCTAAGAGAAAACCCCATTAATACAGAATTTATTTATGGATCAGAGGTCATGATAAACTTATTTCTATAATTATTAACAATATTAAAGCAGGTGCCTACTGAACAAGGGTCTCATTTATAAAACTCTGCACAGAAACCCTTCTAAAAAGTGAACGTAAGCCAGAAATAAATGTGAATGTATGTCTATTTATTAATGATTGATTTATTTTACTATGGCTCATATAATGATTTAAAGCGGTTCAAATAAGTACATTTTTACTTTAAATATATTTACCTGTACTTAAAGTTTGCTGCATTTATAGATTTACCTATATCAGTAGTCCCCAACCTTTATATCACCTCAGACTGGTCAACGCTTGACAATTTACCACTGCAAGGGGCAGGGGGCGGTGGAAAGGTTTTACAGATTGCTAGGCGACCATCAGCTGTTTTCTCAGAGGATGACAAGCTGACAAAACATTGCTGCACTTCTGATACAAGATTTATTTATGGAGAAAATTTAAAAGCACTGCAGTTTTTGGATGATCTGTGTATGTCTGAGATTCTACCGAAAAGTGTATATTCCATACAAAATATAGAGCTGATTGGTCAGTTCTTGTCACGTGACTCATGGTGTGCTCGCTGTATTCTGAAAAGTTTATATGTTTTCAACTGGTTGCGCCTGGAAGCCATGTGTGTCGATTGGAAATAACGCACTTTTGTGCGGAAAATACGTGACATGTGAACAATCTCCAGCAATTAATCCTTTTCTTGCACAGACATGCTAGATTCACCTGATTTGTAAACAAATGGGTTTCGGATCTATTCCTTGGCAGTTCGTGGGTCCTTCACAGGGCCTATTTCTCTTCCCAAAGATAATTTCCTAAGACGTCTGTTTCTTATTCATTTTGCTGCTTGTGGTTTTAAATTGTGGCACTTAAGTTACCGAGATGTAACCGAGAGAATATGGTCATTTTTCAAGATTGTTCAGACTCATATAATAAATAAAACTGAAACAACTAAGGATTTATTGTGCAGCCCGGTAACAATTGATCTATGAACCAGGGGGTTGGGGACCACTGTTATAAGATCACAACTTTGTTATTTCCACCCCTATCCTATGCATGCACCACATTTAAAACTGTATCTACAATGCAAACTAATTAAATAGCAGTTATTGGGAGTCTTTGTCATGCATTATCTTTATTACAGCAGTCTCACTCACCTTTCGAAGGCCCTTGAATCCATGGGTGTGTTTAATCGACCGTCTATACAGACAAAACAAACACAGAGGTCATAAAGTGCAAGCGGCTGGAATGTAAGAGGGTTGACTTTTCAACCGCGAGGTCACTGAACTCTACACTGTAAACCTACCCTCTCCGCTCTTCTCTGTAGTTATCCAAGCCCTCATCGAAGGATCTGGAGCGTTCCGTTTTCGAATCTGATTCCAGAATAGTGAGTCGTAAGGAATCTAGGTCGGAGATATGGATGAATTCAGAGTTAAAAACAGTTTTAAATACTTTAAAAATATATATTCTAGCCGAAATAAAACAAATACGACTTTCTCCAGAAGAAAAAAAAAATTATAGGAAATACTTTGAAAAATTTCTCACTCTGCTAATTATCGTTTGGGAAATATTTAAAGAAGAAAAATCAAGTGCATTTGATGTTACTAAGATATTGCATTTGCTTAGATGTTTCTTACCCTGGTCATGGGACAGCTGTCGGCGTATTACTGGAGTAGGGGACGTTGGACTGGGTGGGATGGTGGTGATGACAGGTGTGCTGGAAATCACGGCAGACGCAGGAATGTGTGTGGTGTCATGGTCATTACTGGAGCTTGACGGCTCGTCTGATGACAACAGACATGAGACACAAATGATCTTTTAATGTGTTTTTTTTGGTAGATATCATGGATAGCAGAACAATAGAGATAACAGAATCAGACAGTCTGGAGTAAACAGGCTTACTCATATCACAAGAAAGAAGTGAGCAATCATTAAACCGATAAACGCCTCCTACGCCTTTTCATGCACAGACAACACAAAGCAGTATGGCAGACGGGTTGCATCATTGAACAATGATGTCATTAAAGTTATTAACCACAGGTCTTCCTTTCACAGATTTAATTGAAGGTGCTGCTTTGGAATAATCTACATTGTAAAAAAGCACTATAAAGATGAACTGCTAGCAGTAATTACACTCTTTTTTCAAATTTTGTGTAATACCTAAATTGCAAATGTAGAAAACCACAAGCTACATGTATGGTGGAACACGCTACTAAAAAAATGCCAGCAGAGAGTTATGAATTATTATGTTTTTTTTTTTTTATATTTTATCAGTATAAGTATCCAGGGCTCAACAATAAAGACTGTCCAGTGGCCCAGGGCCAGTGTGAGAGACGCTTGGGACAGTAGACAGGATCATTACTGGCCCGATTGGGACAGTGCTGCCTTGTCACTAACATTTAATTTGTCTGCGATTATTTGTCAGTTGCATGCATTTTCAGTTTGTGCTTTTAAGTCTTTAAAGACTACATTCTCTGTGATGTCGTAAACACCATATTGCTTTCCGGTTTTTCTTATCTGATTTGATGTTTTGAGCATTCTATTTTTTTTCGTAACCTAGTAACAACAAGTACAGTGAAGACACGGCAACATGGCGGCAACATCAAGTTATAAGGCCAAAAGAAAATGTCCGTTTCTAACGTCTTGGAATAAAATAATACAATTCACAAGTACTAGCCCTTATTATTCGCGGGAGTTACGCTCAAAAAAATAACCCGCAATAGGCAAAATCCACGAAGTAGTCAGCTTTATTTTTTACAATTAATATAGATGTTTAAAGGCTGTAAAACCCCTCATTAAACTCTTTTCTCAGGCAGGCATTTTCACACTTTTATCTCTTATTTAAACATTCAAAGTCCTGTCGAAAACGTATGTTTGTTTTGGCAGGCTGAACGCATTCTGTACTGTACAGGAAACACGGAGGAGATTGATTGACAAAGGCCTATAACCAATCAGGATGCAGAACACAATGCACTGTTAAAAAAGCATGTCAAATTGCACACACAAAGAATCTTCGAAATTGCGAGGCCACGAAAGGTGAACCGCGTTATAGCGAGGGACCACCGTAATTCTCCTATTTATCAATGTCAATGAGAACATCAGAACTATTCAATCTGGCTTTAAACTTGATCATAAAGACATAAATATTCTGAGGTAAATTCAGTTGTTTTCTTAACCTGAACGTTAAATTCTGCACAAAAACTGTTGTGTTGTGTGTTAATTACTCTTAATTTCAAGCATAAACATGAGATTGAACACCTTTTATTATTTTATCGAGGGAAAGTTTTATCACCATAATTATCAGTATTATTTTATCATCTAGTTTTAAGCCTAAATTAACAAAAACCATATAATAACAAAAGTGGTTGTCTATCAATGAAAAGAGTGTACAAATAAAACAGAATTTCAAATGACTTCAAAACAGTCAAAAATTAGTATTTCATTAACCAATTAGAAGAAGAAAAAAAACAAAACTTTCCACTGGCATTTTCCATTACTATGTCATATCATTTTACTGTCCTCTTGTTTGTTTGAGGTTTTAGAGCTGTGGTTAAACTGCAGCGAGTGTGAAAGTGTCAGGCAATGGCTGTGGAAGTGGCTTCCTCGCTGCCTTCGGGAGGGAATGTGTCAGTATGTCACATTATCTGTGCCCCCGTGGACTATGATGTCATGCCCTATCACTGTACTGGTGTGCATTGCCGTTTGGAGAAACTCCCTGGGCTGACCCATGCCCTTCATGAACACTTCTGAGCTACAAAACTGTCCAGCTGCACATATATCAAAGCCTATAACACATTCTAAAATGAAATGTGAGGGATGTGGTGTATAGAACTGTTTCTTGAGATGGACAGCCATTCATGATGGAAAATTGACTTCTTGTAGGACATACCAGGGACATCTTTATGCATGTCTGTAATATCCAAAAATCCCAGAATGAGCAATAACTTGATAAATAACTACGTGTATATAAACACTTTGCTTCTTTCAGCTCCTCCTATTCTCCCACAGACATTAACAGATATCAGATTACTCCTCTGTCTTCTCTGCCAGCTTTGTTTACATTGGGTTGAGCTGTTTGCTCTGTTGTAATTACTGTTAACATCATAAAACCGAACAGCTGTACATCCCTTAATCGAATGCTCTCTATGCAAAGCCTGGACCATTAATGGCAGACAAACAGTGTGTCATTTTATATGATTTATCTAAGCAATAAAAAGCAAATTCACCATGTCCTGCCCTGGTGTGGCAGCACAGTGGAGTAGACAATGACTGTCTTGTGTTGAAAGTAGTGGGGATAAAATTCAAATGGTTTGTGTGTGTGAAGAAAACACATTGTAACCCTTGTTCTTTACACTCTTTAGTTGCTTTAGGTGATATAAAAAGCTTATAATAATACATTTTGAACAATCTGTTAACAATATCAAACTACCTTTATGGTTAACTTAGTGGTAACAGCATCCATTGATATTTTAAATAGCTTACCAATGAAGGGAATGGAGTCCAGAGAGTCATCAAGGTTGCTTGAGATAGAGATCTTACACTGGTCTCCTACTTTCCTCATGTGCATTTCCCGCCGGGTATCGTTCGGCAACCAGCATGTGTTAGAGTTTGGGGGTTGTTCAGCTACTCCCTGTGTATCATTCACTGCCAGAATGTAGGAATGTGGACGGATAGGTTGAGATCCAGACTTTTCCCTTCGAACCACAACTACAGTGGCATCTGGACCCTCAATCCCGTCCACTGCCTTCTTATTGGCTTGGGTTTCTGTGCAACTAGGCTGCTGATGAACTGTTCCGTTACTGGTCAATATGGACTTGCATCCACCCGGCTTTGATCTATGGAGTTTAGAAGCGGCAGAACAAGAAGAAGAGCGACCAGGGCGGATTACCTCTCGGACAGGCTCCTGAAGGCTGTCAGCCCGCCCTCTGGGCTGTAACTGCTTTGCATTGTGGGGCATGTGGTTGGCAATGAGAGGTGTTCTTTGGTCTTTGACAAGGCCTGTGTTGGAGCCGAGGTGTCCTTGTATTGAAGCCAGAGCAGAAGCTACATAAGAAGCAGCAGCAGTGGAAGGGTCTGAGACGTAATTTTTCGCAGGAGGCAGTGAAGATCTGTTTACAGAAGGTGTGCAGTTGTTACCCAGGCTTTCAGCTCTGGAGTTAAGCAATGAATCTGTACCTCTATTGAAGAGAGGGGTGATGGGCAACCCTGGGTAACTTCCCCCTCGCTTCTCTGGACTAAATAAATCCTGTGTTCTGTGAGGTACCATGCGCAAGGAAGAAGATTGCCTGCTTGCTCTTGCCTCATCCCCTTTGTGCACAAGCAACCACTCTTCTGTATCAGTTCTGCAGCATGCCTTCTTGTCCACTATGGATGTTGCAATGTCACTGTTCCTACCAAGGTAATCACAGGAATATGCTCTTGGTTTCGGGACACCTGTGGGAGTTGATGGGAGGGCATCCTGGGAAGCACTCCGAGGCCAATTCCGTGCACATTCTGCACCGCCAAGCCTCTCCTGAGAAGCGCTACGCAGTGGCAGCACACTGGATACCTGATAACTCCGATCATGTGAGGCGCTCCTCTGTCTTAGCTGTGATCCAGAAAAGCCTCGTGAGGGGGTGGCCGTTGTCGATGCACTCTTCTGCTTGCTGTATTCACCCGTACCTGTTGGGGATGCGGCTCTCAAACTGTCCAGACGTTCTTGAATTGTCCGGGAGCCATACATGTAGAGTCTTTTGTTATCAATGTAGTCCTTGTAGGTGGTATAGTTCCTCCAGTCGATATTTTGATGTGGGGAGCAGGGCGAGGGAGTCGCTGGTGGAGGAGAGGGTGTGTAAGGGGATGGAGAGGTGGCTGATGGGAAAGTGTCCGCTGTTGTTGTCAAGGTTTGTCTATTAGAATGTACAGGTTTTGTGTCTGAGCAAGTCTGTGCAGATCTGGGGGTATTTTCAGAGAATCCAGTGGGCTCTGCAGTTCTATTGGGTTTTTGATGTAATTGTGCTGTCCCAGTCGGAGATGAAGTGACATGGGGTTTAGACCTGTTTAAGCTTGGGTCTGTTGAAGAGGCGTTTTGGTTCTCCTCTGTCCTGTGGCTGGGACCAGCCCAGGTCACATGTGGAGTTCCGTCTGTAGATTCCTGTGATGCTACTATTGTCCTAACATTCTCGCTAAACACACGGACAACAGTTTGGGTTTTGGGGACCTGAGAGGTTTGGGATAGAGAAGGGGAAGATAAAGGGACATCAATGCGGCAGCCTATGTCAGGAATGTAGCATTGATTTGCTCCTTGTCCGGTTCCACATGACGTCTCGGCAGAGCGTGAGGGCTCTGACACTTGTGCCATGGCCAAGACATTGGGCTCTATGCGTGGGTAACATATTGGGGGTGGCTCGGGTATGTTCTGGGCATTTCCACTGTATGCCTCATTTCCTTTGAGGTATGCATCTTGAGAATAGGCCTGAAAAGAAAGCATGCTTCATTAAATATGCTAAATTAATAATTAAATCCACTATTAAAATACAAACAAATACTGAAATGATCGAGCATCAAATATTTCACTCCTAAACTACACACAAACAACGTAACCTGTAAAAACCGAGTTTTTCTGCAACTTGTAATGCATCCAAGGAGAAGTGAGAGATGGGAAAAAGGTCAATCAGCCACGCTCAAATGCCTTTAACCTCAAGAAGGGATTAGGTATCAGAGGCTTACCTACCTTTAGCTGAGGAGAGAGAGCGGTGCGCAGACAAGAGGAAAAAGCGAGAGTAGGACAGCCTTTCACCGAGTACTCTACAGACGCCAGAAGCTGCTCTGTTATCATCTTTCAGATGAAAGCAGAGCCAGCTAATATCCTTTAAGTCTAAACACTACATTTTCTTCAGGAAATTACTCCCATTTACAACAGTCCTACATAGTCCAGCTGAATATATAAAGTTGAAGCTGTCTCAGCTGTCACAGTGTGTAGAGCTCCGGTATTAATGAGAGTGTAAACGTAATAGCTAGACTTTGACTCTACACCTGAGGTGTCAAGTTACGTTACCAAACATGTCCCTCCCTCTCTCCCTTTCTGTTTGTCTGCCCCACCCCTTCTATGAAAATTAAGATGACTCAGAAGATGACAAATACGCAGGTGCATTATCATGATGATGGAATAACTTGGGGAGGGTTGAAGGGGGGATTTGGGGATTGAATAAACACATGTAGTTCCTAATATCTTTAAAATCTGGATGCTGACAGGTAAATGTAATTCACATGCAAAGGAACTTAACTACAGGCACTGCAAAGTTACATAACAGAAAAGAGGGAGCAAGTGACATCTTTAGCTCCTTCTTACCAGAGCAGTGATATCCCTGGAGAACTGTAGCCGGGAAATTAGATTGACAGCAAGAAAAAAACAGAGGAAAAAGAACAGGAAAAAAGAGCAATGGTAAGAAAAGATGACAAGAGCTCTACAGGTACACCAGAAGCAATCATCCCCTTTTCCAGACAGTGCTGCTGTCATTCTAGTGCGGGATAAAGCACACTATAAATACACACTGCAGCAGAGAGAAAGAGAGAGAGACTGCTGGAGGTCTGCCAGTCCAGCACCAAATGAACCAGACAGAGGAGGACACACTTGAGATCAGAAAAGGGTGACTACTGCTCTTTTACAGAGTAAATTTCATAAAAGTTACACCTATAGTCAGAGAGCATCTTTCTCTTATGGCAGTCTTGCCTATAGTGAACAGTGTGTGGCTCCTTTCTGTCCACACAGTGACTTTACAATTCCTGTACATGTAGTTGCAGTTTGTTGTATATATTAGCTTTTGACCTGTATACACCAAGTGGTTAGCTAAGATTCATTACTGTCAACACCAAATGATAATAAAGGTCTCAATTGTGCTTTTTTTAACATCTTCACATAAAAAATAATAAAAATAAATAAAATTTAACGTCATGATTTGTTCCTGGAAAATATATTCCTAATGGAGTGGTTGACATGTAATTGACCCAGATAGTGCCCCCCAATCCCAACCAGACTTTAACAAAGTCTTCAAGTCTTCTGTTGGTCTTGTCTATAATCTCTGATCTTTGGTTCTTATTTTCTATTGGATTCTATTGGAGAGTTTCCTTAGCTGTGTTTGGAATCATTGTCTTGCTAAAATGTCCACCTATATCTTCATCATCCTGGTACTACATGTAACGGCGCTAAAGCAGTTTATATTAATTTACACTGACCATGGGCATGTTTGCTCAATAACTACTAAGAGATGGGACTTTAGGGATTTGTGAAGCTGTACATCAATGTATTTGCTCTTCAGTGTTTGAACTTTCAGCAGTGAAAATTAAACCACACTGAACTGAAATAAACTGAACTTCAACTCTGAAAACTAGACTGACACAGTTTCAATTTATTAGAACTTTTATGTTAATCTGCTTTGAAACAATCCACATTGTAAAAGTGCCATATAAATAAAGATGAATTGAATTGAATGCTGTCTGGGCTTTCCATGACTTTTCACACCTCCCTTCCTTCATGTGTTTTATAAATTGTTGGCTGTCATTTATTTTATTATACATAACTTATGTTGGTTGTTACCGACATCTGGTAAAAACTGCAAATTTGCATATATTTATTAATATTATTATTATTATTATTATTTATTGTTTTTAACTTTACAATTTGTGAAATTGTAAAATATTAACAAAGTTGCTAAGCACAACAGTACAATGATTTTTGACTACAATTAAGTTTTATTTAAATCTACATTTAAATATATACACTTGCCATGTTGCTTCTTACCCTTTCATCTAATACTCTACATCAATGAGTTTGTCCTTTAGCCTCTTATTTCAAGATGTTGCAGTATTTCAGAGTCAAAACATGCTTTGCAAGTTGCTGCTTTGGATCTGATTGCCTGACTGTTTTGCATAAAATGCTTGCCCTTCCCTGAAGTCCATTACATATCTTCTGCCATTGTTTCACAAGTGCACGCTGTAATTTGACCTTTATTTCGGTCTATATTTCTCATTCTATTCTCATTCTCTACATAACTACAAATGGGCCATCAGTAGCACCATAAGGGAATTTGTGGGTGCTTTAACAATGGCAGTTTACTTGGCAGTAGTGCTGTAGTTGACCTCCAAATGAATACAAATAAGTATTCAGCCATGTTTTGTATACTATTATTTACTCTGCATGTTTGTAAAGATGTAAACTTGGAAGGAATCAAACATGGATTGCCCAGTCTAAAAGCCCCTTTAGACCACTGCGTTTACCATTAGTTTTGCCATGCTATGCAGACAGTAAAAGCCTATTCACAACATTTTGGAAGAAAGAAATGCTTCCTGTTAGCTGGAATAACAATCATGAGTGGCGTTTCTAAGTCTTAAACTCAGCACTGGATGGACTCATTACTGTCACATCAGAAAGTGCCCGCGGGCTCCACAGTGGAGTATGAGTTCATGTGGCTGGCATGTAACAGCCTGAGATCTGCAGTTCTGTCTGGAATGTGCTCAGATATGGGGGTGGCATTATGACCCTGGTTGTGAGGAAAACCTCATTATAGATGATTTCAAAATAAGAGCGCACACACACACACACACACACACACACACACACACACACACACACACACACACAGGCGCCATCACGCTTCTCTGCTCTGCTGGATCACTGAACTCTGGCTGGAAGAACATCTTCTGTGTGTTTCCATCGCTCTGTTCTCCTTTTCCAGAATTCCTTTAGCCTGAGTATTTTCATTTTCAATGCAGTTCATCTATTTTCTCGTTTGAAACTTCAATACGCATCTTATCTTATGACCATGACACATAGAAGACTCATATTTGTTAAACACTTGAATGGGTTTTACTGTCCCACAATGACTAAAATACATTGCAACAAAGCTTTCCTTACTTAAGAGCATTTGTCTTAGTCCTTAAATCAAGAAGCTTTTTCTAGACAAAAAACTATTGTGGACTAAAAGTTTGTGGAAACTATTTCTAGACTAAAAAATATTGTTTTATCAAAAATATTGTTAAAAATTGTCTAAAAAAATACAGTTTTACAGAAAAAGGAAACTCAACCCTTATTTAGAATAAGGGAAGAATGATTAAATGATGTCAGAATTTTCAGTGTTTGGTGAACTATCCCTTTAAGAAGGCAGTTGCAAATAATTATGCTGCTTCATGCTGTGTTCACACCACATGCGGCATGCTCGGATAAATTCTGCAATTTGCACTTAAATAGACGCGTGACCATTTTTAGTTTACTCGCTTCATTCGTGCGTCAAGTCCATTTCATTCGCACGTCAAAATAGATGCAGATTCATGTCATGGGCAGGGCTTCTGTCTGCCCAGTGAATCTAGCTTCATTACTGAATGGCTAACATGGATTTTATAGAAAGAATAGCAGTGTTTATGCGCTTAAGGAAAGCTGAAAAAAAGCGTTGATTTGTTTGGAGCCATGTCTGAGTCCACTAGCTCCATTAAGAGATGCGCCCAACTCTGTGAGTTCATCAACTCCTCCAGAAATTGTACCAGGATGATGGAAGCTTTCAGCAATGCTTCTGACTGAACTGAGCCCAGATGATGAACTGTTGTCTGGTGTCAGCAGGTGGATTTCCTCCGGGACACCAATAACAGGTGCTATGTTATAATCATGCCACTACAAGACAAAGCTCACGATTGGTTAACGCAGTGCGAATGTCTGCTGAAGTTAAGATTTTCCAACTCGAGTGATTTCATCATTCGCGCCACCTCATTCACTCGTATTGTGTCGCAGGATGTTTATTTTCATTGACTTAACATGTAAATCACTTGCGCTTGATGCTTCATCCACATCTGGTGTGAACACAGCATAAGAACATGTCGTGAATCTGGCCTAAAATTTTAAAGTAGAAAGTTGGATAACAACAAATAAACATATGAAGAAGCCGGGAACCCTTCCAAAACGACATAACTCTCCATAATCCAGGACCAGGCTGTCTCTTGAGCAGATGCTGTGGTGGTCATGGAGGAGCAGAGAGTGGACGAGTCTCCACATTGATCCTGTGGGCCAGCCTGAATACCCACTGGAGACCAACTCAAACACAAACATGCAGTTTCTCCATGTTAGACATCCCCAACTGAGCCTAGCTTCTCTCAAGGATTTTTACCTTTACTTTCGTCAATTGGTGAATTTTTGTTTCTCGACATTATTGCCACTGGCTTGCTTGGTTTTGGGACTTGTGGAGTCCAACGTCCATTAATGGATTTGCTCTTTGAGCATTGATGGTTTAGAGTTTCAGCAATGAAAACTGAAATGAACTAAACTGAATTTTTTCTCTGTAAACTGCACTGACACAGTTTCAGTTTACTAGAACTTCTATGTTAAGCTGCTTTGCCACAATCTACATTGTAAAAGTGTTTTAGAAATAAAGATTAACTGAATTGAACAAGAGGATATTTGTAAACAAGGCCCAATTGGTGCATTTCTGTAAGCAAAACAGACAAATTCTCACATCAGTTTCGCCATGCATCATCAAAAGTGGTTCATTTTTGTGCAACAGTAGGACTGAACTGTATCGGGGCTCACATTAACAGCATAGCCAAGCTCAAATTAAGCAAATTTGGTTTTATTTACACCTAATAAACACAATGTTGTGCTTGTTCAAGTGCTTATGTAAAAGGAGCTGAAACAACACAATTCTTTTTTTGGAACAACTAAATTGTTTTATGTTCAACCCACTTAAATTTGTTAAGTTAACCTAAATGATTTGTGTTGGGACAGCATGAATGAAAGGTGTAGATAGCTGCTTTTTTTTACGGTGTGCTTAGAATTCATTTCCAACTGAGCCAAACTCTTGTCATAGGTAAAACAAGTCTTGGGATGCACCAAGAATGCTAGAGTGAGCCCATAACTGAACAAGTCCCTATGAGGATGAGAGAACGCCACAAGACAAATCCATGTTTGTTTTGTCTGACAGATAAAACCCATGAAAAAACAAAAACCTACCAGCTGTAAAATGTCTTCATCTTTTGGCATCACGCAGAGCTCCAGAGATGTGTCACTGCAAAAAAACAAAAAAACAAAAACAAAAAAAAAACAATCATAAATAAATAAAAAAACATAATTTAAAAGGTAAAGCAATGACTTCAATGAAAGTTAAGCACTGCTAGCTGTTAAACCAAATTATGCAATAGAGAGCATATTCATTAAACTTCCTCAAGGATTAAAAGATTTAACTAAAAGACTCAGCAGGAACAGATAATCAACCAACTAAATGAGTAAAGGACTACATAAATACAAGGCCTAGTGAATTAATTTAGTTTAAAGGGGACCTATGTTCCTGTTTACAAGATGTAAAATAAGTCTCTGATGTCTCTAGTGTGTGTATGTGAAGTTCCAGCTCAAAATACACCACAAATAATATTTTGTAACTCTTTGAAACTGCCTTTTTTAGGCTTTAAGTTGTGCTGTTTTGGTGACTGTCGCTTTAAATTCAAATCAGATTGCGCTCCCAGCCCACTTTTAAAAAGAGGGCAGGGCTACAAATGTATTAAAATATATTAATTAAAAATAAATGGAAATATATAAATAATTTAAATTAGAATAAATAAATTTTAAATAAATTAATAAATAAATTTAAAATTATTTTTTAAATAAATAAATAAAATTAAAATCAATAAAATAAAAAATCAATAAATTAATGAATAAATAAATAAATAAGTAGTATTTGTCTAATGTAAATCTAAGTTACATAATAGCTAAGTATTTCCCTTTTACAGTGAAGAAATGTACTGAAATGCTGCTGAACCTTTGAATCAACTATATAACAAAAATGTTTGGTATTTTTCATTTGTATTTTTATCTCAGTGCAGGGCGCTCGTGGCATTCTTTCAACTAGTAGGTGCGTTTGGAAAGCACAAGTCCGTCTCTCCATATATGCAAGCCAGGCGCCACCATTGGAAATAACAAACTTGCGCGTGCAAAAGACGCAATATTTGACTGGCCCTTATTTAAAAGCCTTACCCATAGTTATTCTTGTGTGCATGGTGTACAAGCTCGAAACTTCAAACTAGCACTCAGTTGGCTTAACTTTAAGTTGCAGCAGTTTTGTTCTATGCAGAAACACAGAGTTAAGAAGCCTTTATGATTAATTAACTGTGACAAATTTAAGCGTGGTTAATAGTGAAATAGGTTAAAAGTTGCATCCCTAATTTTTACCATCAGAGATTGTCCATATTCTGCTGCCACAACTGTGTTTAAACCCCTTATTAAGGTGATTTCGCATAATAGGTCCCCATTTAAACTCAAAACAGCATTTTTAGCTAGAGGTTATAGTACTTGGGTTTAGGATAAGCAGTGTAAGTTGAAACATTACCTGTTCTGGATGAGGGCGATTACTTGGGAATATGTCTTTCCAATAATGCTTTCTCCGTTGACTTTCACAATGCGATCCCCTGTAGGAAGTAGAAAGAAAAATAGACTATTAGCCCTCCTGAATTATTAGCTCCCCTGTGTAGTTTTTCCCCAATTTCTGTTTAACGTAAAGAAGACACATTTCCAAACAGAATAGTTTTAATAACTCATTTCTAATAACTGATTTATTTTATCCATGATGACTTCTACACTACCTGACAAAAGTCTTGACACCTATTCAAGTTGTAGGAACAACAAATAATAACTTGACTTCTAGTTGATCATTTGGTATCAGAAGTGGCTTATATGAAAGGCAAAGGCCTCTAAATTACGCTTATTTTACCAAAATAAAACATGATCATGCCTTGATTATTAATTATTCAATTAGGACAGTAAGGTCTGCCATTGCTTAGACAAAAGTCTTGGCACCTAACAGAAATAATGTCCAGTATAGAATATAAAGTCATGCTGCAGTGGGAAAAGAATTAATATTAATATAAATTAATATCATCATCAGGCTGATGATGTTGTCATCCACTCTGCAGATCTCTAGCACACCCCCATAGTGAATGTAACCCCAAACCATGATTTTTCCTTCACCTAACTTGACTGATTGCTGTGAGAATATTGGGTCAATGCAGGTTCCAAAAGGTCTTCAGCAGTATTTGTGATGATTGGAATGCTATTGACCTTCAGCCATTTTTCCAATTGATCAACTAGAAGTCAAGGTCGTATTAGTTGCTCTTACAACTGGGATTGACGACAAGACTTTTGTCAGGTAATGTACATAATATTTCACTAGATATTTTTTAAGATACTAGTATACAGCTTAAAGTGACTATTAAAGGCTCATTTAGGTTGATTAGGCAAGTTAGAGTAATTAGGCAAGTGATTGTAAAGCGATGGTTTGTTCTGTAGACAATCGGAAAAAAAAACAAAAAAACAATGCTTAAGGGGACTAATAATATTGACCTTAAAATTAACTTAACAATTAAAAACTGCTTTTATTCTAGCCGAACTAAAACAAATAAGACTTTTTTCAGAGTAAACTTTTATTATCGGAAATACTATGAAACATTCCTTACTTTGTTACACATCATTTGGGAAATATTTAAAAATAATAATGAAAATAAATTGACAGAAGGACTAATAATTCTGACTTAGGAACCTCTGAAGAACTGATGGTCCACAAGATCATGTGGTAAGAACAAGAATCCTGGTGTAAGTATGTTTCTTTAGAAATGTTGACTAATGTGTGATGAAGATGAGATTCACAAGAAGAGTCAGAAAAAAGCCAGCAGTGAGATTTACATTTTACATTTACATTTAGTCCAAAGCGACTTACAAATGAGTACAGGGAAGCAACTTACACAGCTATAAGAGCAACAATGAATAAGTGCTATAGGCAAGTTTCAGGTCTGTAAAGTCTAAGAAGGAAAGTATTAGTACTTTTTTTTTTTTTTTTTTGGGTACAGTTAGTGTGATATCCAGAGAGGCAATTGCAGATTAGGAAGTGAAGTGGAGACTAAACAGTTGAGTTTTTAGTCGTTTCTTGAAAACAGTGAGTGACTCTGCCGTTCTGATGCAGTTAGGGAGTTCATTCCACCAACTGGGCAGATTGAGCGTGAGCGTTCGCGAAAGTGATTTCTTCCCTCTTTGGGATGGAACCACGAGGCGACATTCATTCACAGAACACAAGTTTCTGGAGGGCACATAGATCTGCAGAAGTGAGAGCAGATAAGAAGGAGCAAGGCCAGAAGTCGCTTTGTAGGCAAACATTAGAGCTTTGAATTTGATGCGAGCAGCAACTGGCAGCCAGTGCAAACGGACTAGCAGCGGAGTGACATGTGCTCGTTTAGGTTCATTGAAGACCACTCGTGCTGCTGCGTTCTGGAGCAGCTGAAAAGGCTTGAAGAGATTGTGGATGATTGTGAGAACGTGTGTTTTGGACCCTCCTTACCAGAGATGTATAGTAACGAAGTAGAACTACTTCACTACTGTACTTAAGTACTAAAAGGCAGTATCTGTACTTTACTGGAGTATTATTTTTTTCTCCTACTTCCACTTTTACTTAAGTACATATTTTACATGAGTTTAATACTTTTACTCCGATAGATTTTTTATGTGCTGCATCGTTACTCGTTACTAGGGGTGTCAAAATGATTGATATCAGTTCAGTAATAGGTCATACCCGGTTATTACGTGATGACGTCATTTATCTCCTATGCGCGATGTCGCAATACTATAGCTAAGGACGGAGGCGCGAGGGCGAGGCGGCACAGCATACCAGCCGCTAGTGTACTATTAGGGAGAAATGTTGTAAAACTTCACCTCTGCCTATCTCTCGCTCTCTCACTTTGGACATTTGACCCGCTGGCCAGTTTGTAAGGTAACTTTTCCTCTCTTCTTAGCTGTTAAAGCTGTGGATCCAGACATGAGCGTGCCAAGTTTTCTTCACTGTGTCTATTACCTGTGATAATCGCGTATTCTTCCCGCCATGGGTGAACAGCGCTTATATTTCTAAAGCCCTTTCTGTTGAGGACAATAACCAATCATAGCCGTGTAAGACCCGCCTGTCAGCGCTCAAAAAGCAGGCGGGATAATATTGACATGAGTTTATTAGCTGTAAATGCTCTTACTGTCTTCTGTGCATGAGTTTTGTTTGATACATCCAGGAAGAGTGTTTTCTTTGAGCAGGTCAAATTAAGGGCACAGTTCGTATATCTGACTGCTGTATTAAAGGACAAAATTTATTACAAAAACCCCTTTAACTGTCACACCAAGACAAAAGCAATAGAATTTCTTTTATGATTGCATTTCTTAACTCCAAATGTCGCTAGTTAACACAATCAGTGCATTTTTATTCAACACATCACATTATTTCTAAAATATCAGCCTCTACCAAATGGTTGAGATGTTGGTTTATGGTAAAAGTAATAGAATTAATAAATATACTACAGAAAATATGAACTGTAAGACCAATTTCATTAAAAACATAATAAAAATAAATAAAAATTATTACTAAATCATAGCCATAAGCCACAAAATATTTCAGATTTTCATTTAACACAGTAATATACACATTTTCCTGTTTTTTTTTTTTACAATAAAATCAAAATCAAGTGAATTTGTGAAGCAGGATTTAGTTTGCTTTTTTAGTTTAAAGCTTTTTATTTTAAAGCAATCAAACTTTAAAACTCCCAAAGTGTGAGTGTGTCTTTGTGTGTGTGTGTGTGTGAGTGAGAATGAATAATGTGTAAGAGAAAACAACAGTGTGATTGTACCTGTGTGTGCGTCTGTGTCTGTGTGTGTGTGTGTGCGTGTGTGTGTGTGTAAGAGAGAGTGTAAAAACAATTGCAACCTATGTAATGTCCCCACAATTCACAAAAATGTGTGTGTGTGTGTGAGAGAGAGAGAGAGAGAGAGAGAGAGAGAGAACTGTGTGTGTGAGAGTGTATGAATGTGTGAGAGTGGGGAGAGAGTGTACATTTAGGTGTGTGCAGGGCAGTGTGTGTGTGTGTGAGAGAGAGAGAGAGAGAGTATGTATGTGAGTGAACATGCTGAATTATCTCATCAGTGAAGGCATTTTCTGGTAAAAGGGCCTGACGATGTGAGCTCTTGTACCATAGAAACTATTTACAGAGAAAAACAGTATCATAAGCCATGTTTCTTTTCGTTCTGCTTAATCAAGTACCCCAAAAAGATATTTAAAATAAACAAAACAATTAGTGTATTTTGACTGCTTTCTTTAATAACTACATTACACAATACTTGTACTTTTACTTTCAGTACTTGAGTAGTAAATTTTGAAATAAACTACTTGTAATACTTAAGTACAAAAAATGTTGAATACTTTTGTACTTCCACTTAAGTATGGTGCTTAAAGAGCACTTCTACTTCTACTCAAGTCAATTTTTGATAAAGCACTTGTACTTTTACTTAAGTATGGGTCTCTAGTACTTTATACATCTCTGCTCCTTACAGTAAGATGTGTCCACCGAGACTCAGAAAGTAGTAATAACTCCACACTGATTATACTTATGTAACACTTCAGCTGTTTATGATGAAGCCCTGCCAGTTCATTTTGGATGCTGGCGGGTGGTCCAACTGTTTAGCAGTGATTCTTTCATGCCTCAGAAAGCCCAGATTTACATCTTAAAAGGGGCTGACCAGAAGGATGCAGGGTTTTTTTAGTGTGTTTTTCTGTGCTATTTTTATATTTGCTCCCCCTCTTCTCTCATACACCTCACCACACGAAAACTCCAAACTAAGTGTACCTTATGCAGGTGAGTGGGTTTGATTAACCACCTGTAAAAAAAAAAAAACTCTCTGACACTTTAACTGACACCAGTTTTGCACATTTGCACCAGGTACGTTCCGACCAAATGTGCTTGAGGTGTGCTTCATACAGGTGAGTGGGCTTGACAAACCACCCGTAGGATACACTGTTCCTCTCTATATGCACAAGGCACTTTGTTAAGGATGATATTTACTTCTGATTTATACTATATACTGCTGATTTACTTCTGCGTTGAGCACACACGTATGGTCTGTTGCAGTCTTCATGTGGTCGCATACCAGTCGCCAACACTGACACGCGCCTGTCAAAAAATGTAATTACACGCCACTTCTACATGTAGCGCAAGCTTCGTGATTGGTTGGCTTCGTAGTGTTGAAGAGTGCAGTTGGGGTTGAAAACTGCGCAAACCTGTTGGAGTGAGTGTTTACAAGTGTCCAGTCCGGTGAAGGAGCTCCAGATGGAAACTTTTGCTTTGTGTTTACCTTATGATTCATGTTGCACAACCACCAGTTCCTGCCTCAAGATGAGCGAGTTTTAGCTTCTTGTGCATTAAGGTAGCGTTCAGAAAAAATAACACCCATGAAGAAGTTCGACACAGAGGAACATAAAAACCAGCTGCCAGCATTTGTTTCGGAAGTGTTACTGCCGAGAAACACAAACATGCAGACGTATGAATGCACGATTACGCATAAGGCATGCACCGTGGGTCACGCCGTTCACTCAACGCAGAAGTATAAACCAGCATTTAGATATACTTCTATGTTCTCTATGTTTGTTTATAAGG